CCCACACACACACACACACACACACACACACACACACACACACACACACACACACACACACACACACACACACACGGTCGTTTGCACAAACGCACTTCCTCGTTCACGCTTGACAGGGCTTCAAGGACGCTGATCGGCAGATGTCTGCTGCGGCAAAGGCGGGCAACTGGGTGATGCTGAAGAACGTGCATCTGGGGCCATCCTGGCTCACGACGCTGGAGAAGAAGCTGCTTGGCCTCAACCCACACTCCAACTTCCGCCTGTTCCTCACCACCGAGATCAACCCCAAGCTTCCGCCCAACCTGCTCAGCGCAGCGCAGGTGTTTGTGTACGAGCCCGCGTCTGGCATCAAGGCCAGCCTGGTGCGTGCATTGCATTCTGTGCCCGAGCAGACGATGGCACGAGAGCCTGCGGAGCGTGGGCGCGTGCACCTTCTGTTGTGCTGGCTGCATGCGGTGGTGGTTGAGCGCCTTCGCTATGCGCCGCTTGGCTGGTCGAAGCGCTACGAGTTTGGTGAGGCAGACTTCAAGACAGCGACAGACACCGTCGACACGTGGATTGACCTCACCGCACAGGGCAGGTGTGTGCATAGTGTGTGTATGTGAATATGTGTGTGTGTCTGTGTGTGTGTGTCTGTGTGTGTGTGTGTGTTTTGGGCCATCTGGAGGGAGGATGGGTGGAGGCAGCTGTTGTCCCTTGTGTTCGGGTCGCGTGTTGTTTTTTCTTAATCATCATCGTCGTCGTCAACGAGACCAACACCACTGCTGGTTCGTTTCTTCTCCTCTTGTTCACGCCTACAAACACGCATGCACATGCATGTGATTTTTATTTTATTTTTGGGTTGCAGGTCGCACATTGATCCAGCGAAGATTCCGTGGGAGGCCCTGCAGGAGTTGGTGACGTCGAGCATTTACGGCGGGCGCATCGACAACGACACAGACATGCGCCTCCTCCGTGCTTTTGTCGAACGCTTCTTCACCGCAGAGAGGTGGGTTGTGTGTGTGTGTGTGTTTGCGTCATGCGTGTCTTTGTGTGTCTGTGTCTGTGTGTGTCTGTGTGTGTGTGTTTGCGTCATGCGTGTCTTTGTGTGTCTGTGTCTGTGTGTGTGTGTGTGTGTGTTTGCGTCATGCGTGTCTTTGTGTGTCTGTGTCTGTCTGTGTCTGTCTGTGTCTGTGTTTGCGTCATGTGTGTGCGGGTGTGAAACTGGTACGTACTCGGCCTTGTTCCTTGCTTGATGCGGACAAGCCCTCACCCATGCTTAACAACGTGCTGTGTTGACTACCCCCCCCCCCCCCCAGCTTTGAGGAAGGGTTCCCGCTGGTTGACGCGGATCCCGTGACAAAGACGGCGGTGATCACGGCGCCAGAGGGCACACGCCGGGACCAGTTCCTGCAGTGGGCTGATTCCCTGCCCAACAGCCAGTCGCCAGCGTGGCTCGGCCTCCCTGCCAACGCAGAAAACGTCCTCCTCACCAACCGCGCAGAGACCATGATCAACAACATGCACAAGCTGCAGGTGCGTGTGGTGTCTGCTTGTTTGCATTGCGTGTGTGTGCGTGTGCGTGCGTGCGTGTGTGTGTGTGTGTGTGTGTGTGCGTGTGTGTGTGTGCGTGTGTGTGTGCGTGTGTGTGTGTGTTTGCTCTGCCCTTTTTTTTTTCTGTGTGTGGTGTGCCGTGCGCTTCCTCACTGTACCATCTTTGCCGCCCACCCACCACCTTTCCTCCAACATCATCCAGACAACCGACGAGGAAGATGACTTTGGCGAGGAGAGTACGGAGGTGACCCCGTCGTCTGCAGTGCCCATGTGGATGCGGCACCTCAAGACGAGCTGCCAGGAGTGGTTGGCCGTGCTGCCGGATGACCTTGACACCCTGCATCGCTCCCCGGAGAAGATCCGTGACCCCCTCTTCCGCTTCTTCGACCGCGAGATTGGCATTGGCTCCAAGCTCCTCAAAACGGTGCGTCGTGTGCGTGCGTGTGTGTGTGTGTGTGTGTGTGTGTGTGTGTGTGTGTGTGTGTGTGTGTGTGTGTGTGTGTGTGTGTTGTTTTTTCTTTTTTGTGGGTGTTGTGTGTTGTTGTTTCTTTTTTTTTCTTTTTTTTTTGTGTATGTGCATTGGGTTTGCGCTTTTTCCTTCTCTTGCACATCACCGCTGCCACCGCTTCGCCAACGTCCACCTAACCCCCCCCCTCTTCCCCCGATTGTCAGGTCCGGCGCGACTTGGGCGACGTGGTGCTGGCGTGTGACGGCGAGATCAAGCAGACCAACTACCTGCGCTCGCTCATGGTGGACCACCTGACAAAGGGGCAGGTGTTTAAGGAGTGGCTGCGGTACAAGGTGCCCAAGGACAGCAGCGTGTCGACGTGGATCACCGACTTTTCCGAGCGCGTGCGCCAGCTGCAGGCTGTTGTGCGCCACTGCAACGCGGGCCAGGACCTGCGCGCCCTCAACGTGTGGATTGGCGGCCTGTTTGTGCCCGAGGCGTTTATCACGGCGACGCGGCAGGCTGTGGCGCAGGCGCACTCGTGGCCGCTGGAGACGCTCGAGCTTGTGCTGGACATGCGGCCGGAGCAGGCGGCCGACAGCGTGCCCGGGGTTGTGGACGCGCAGAGCTTCAAGCTGGTCAACATGCGCATGGATGGCGCGACGGGCAAGGGCAGCGCGCTCGCGCTCTCGCAGACAACGTTCACGGTGATTCCGCTCACCATCCTCAAGTGGGTGAACACGGTGCAGGAGGCGCTGCCGGCGGAGGAAGGCAGCGGCGGCATTCGCGTGCCCGTGTACCTCAATGCCACGCGCGCCGAGCTCATCTTCACCTGCACGCTGCGGGCAGAGGGCCTGTCGGAGAGCACCGTGTACGGTCGCGGTGTCGCCCTCGCCTGCTCCTCCCTCAGCGGCGTCGTTTGAGTGCAGTGTGTTGTGTTGCTGTGTTGTTGTTGTTGTTGTTGTTGTTGTTGTTGTTGTTGTTGTTGTTGTGTGTGTGTGTGGGTGTGCCTGTGTGGGTGTGCCTGTGTGTGTTTGTGTGTGTGGGTGTGTGTGTGTGTGTTCGTGTGTGTGTGTGTTGAAGTGACAGATGGCCTTGTACTGAATCGTTTGTTAGCTGATCGAGAGTCCCACAAGGTGTGTTTTTTTTTGTTGCACAGTGCTTCTTTCTCTTTCCATCGTCTGTGTGTTTGCTGGGTGTGTGGTGGCGTTGCATTAAAAGCGAGCAAACAAGCAAGCAGGAGGGTGAGCCAAGCAAGAGCAGAGGGCACGAAGCAAAGCAAAACAAGCCACACATGAGACAAAGGGAAGCGGAGAAGGCAGCATTGGTGGAAGACACGTCCAAAATTCCATGGGGGTGGGACAATTTTTCCGCCCTTTATAAAACCAAACAAAGCGACGTTTGCACCCTGATTGGGAGTGGGATGTTGTTTCTCTCGTTGGTCGACTGGTTTGGGTTCGAGCCTGGACGCCTCACATTTCCGACGCCCTTGATCGACGCGTCACGCGCCAATTTCTTGCTCTATCATGCCAAGAAATCACACTTGATGCCTGAGTCCCTCTGCCGTGGCTTGCTTCCGCTAGACCCAGCGATCGCTTGTTCCCGCTTAACACAGCAGCGGTGACGCAGAAAGGTGACCGATGTGTGTTAAGGCGCCCCAGTGATGGCCCCTTGAGGGTATCAACCCTCACAACCAGCAGCTGCACCCATTGGCGCTGCAGCAAAACGTCTTCACGTTGCCCAACAAGGCGACCGCGGGAGTACTGCGCAGACATCATCCCATCGCGATCAGGGTATTTTTTTTTGTCTTGGCTTGATCCTCCCAGTCTCACACCACTCTCACACACACACACACCAACCACACACGACTCTCCATCGCACATGCGTTTATTCATCGCATCGTGCGTGCACATTGCTTCGTGTCAATCAAGAATAACAACAGCCCTAGTCAGCAACCCAAGCTCGCTCACAGGCGCACTGTGATGGTAACACACAAGCCGGGGAACACCCTCCTTTTTTTTTTTTTTTCGCAACCCCCTTTGTGCAGCCTGCGCCGTGCCATGCAACCTCATGTCGCGTTGACGACCATCTTCTGTAACAACGGCTGTGTACCGTCCTCCGCCTCCTCGTCTTCCTCTCCTCCTTCTACCTCTTGTGCTCGATCCACACTGCTGAGCGCAGGCACGAGGGGGCCGTGTGGCGTCCACTTGTGGTACACGAGAATGCCGACCAGGATGACAGCAAACGCGCCAATGTACGGCCACGAGAACTGTGGAGCGTGCGTGTGTACGAGTGCGTGTTGGGTGAGTGTATGTGTGTGTGCATGTGCGTGTGTGTGTGTGTGTGTGTGTGTAAGCGTGTGAGTACGTGAGTGAGTGTGTGTGTGTGTGTGTGTGTGTGTGTGTGTGTGTGGGCGTGAATGGATGGTTGAAGGGCAACATGACACAACGCGATAAACACACAACACCAGCACACACACACACACGCACATGTACACACACACACACACACATGCACACGCATGCACACACACACACAAAACACACACGAAACACACACGAAACACACAAGAGCGCTTACGCGAATGGCAAAGATGACGACACCGAAGATCATGACGTAGACATCGGTTGTGAGGAGGGAGAGGTTGAGCATCGTTGCGCTCGACCAGCGGATCAGCACCGGCACCATCGACGTGAACAGGAACAGGCACACCGCAAAGCCAACCAGCAGCAGCACTAGCAAAGGCAACGTGGTGTGGGTATGGTGGCAGTGAGCAGCGCGACGGGGCAATGTGTGCAAGCAATCGGCGTCGACACACGAGTGTATCACACACACACACACACACACACACACACACACACACACACACACACACACACACACACACACACACGCACACACACACACACACACGCACACGCACACACACACATGACGCACCAACGGGCTCGGACCACGTCAAGCCCTCCAGTTTCTCCCGGTCCAGAATTGCACTGCATTCGCATGGACAACAGGACCAGCCGTCGCATTAATGAGCACACGAAAAGAGGCCAAGCCTACACCCTGGCACACACACACACACACACACAGAGGTATATTGACACCTGTCCCCCTTCCCGCCTACACACACATACACGCACGCACACACCCACACACTGCCTGACGCACAGCTGTGTTCCGTTGATGATGGCACCAAAGAGGCCGAGAAAGGCGAGAAACTCGACGGCAGGCCGACTCTGCAGCATGAGCTCTTGCGAGACATTGGATGCACCGTACAGCACGCTTGCGAGTAAGCACAGCGCATCGCCAAGGGCCTGGTTTGTGCCGCCATGCTTTGACGCGAAGAACGAGTCCACCACAATCACCACAATGCCCAGGATGCAGAGGGCAGCACCGGCATACTGCCCACGGGAAAAGGTGTGCTTGAGCAAGATGCGCGAGAAGATCATGGCGCTGGGGATGGTGAAGGAGTCGAGCAGCTGGATGCTGGTGAGGTTGGTGTACTGGTACGCAAGCACAATCACGTAGTTGGCCTCGACATCCAGCACGGCAATGATCATGTATTTCCACACCACAGTGCGCACAAAGTCTCGGAAGGACTGCCTGTCATCACTGCGAACCAGCTGCGCGTGCTCTTCATCCTGAAGCAGCGGCTCATGCTGCTGGTGCTGTGCATGCTGCTCCTGCTCGTGCTGCTCCTGCTCACGATGTTGCACGTGCTGTCCATGCTGCAAATGAGGATCTCCGTAGCGTTGGTGCGGTTGTTGTTGTTGTTGTTGTTGTTGTTGTTGTTGTTGTTGTTGTTGTTGTTGTTGTTGTTGTTGATGATGTGCTGATGGCGCAGTTACCGCTGCCTCTGTGATTGGCACAGACCATCGCGCGCTCTGTTGCGGCATATGTTGTGCGTCTGAGCCATCCTCATCTGCGTCCCGAATCACCACCGTCGTTGCCTCTTTCTCCTCTTCCGCTGCCGCTTGCAGCCCATCCGCTTGTGAACGCCTGTATGTCTGCTTCCACAGGACAATGGGGATGTACACTGCGGCGAGGAGGGCGTAGTTGAGGAAGGTCTGCGCAGTTGGGATGTTCACGCTGTAGTTTGTCGCCAGCGCTTGGCTTGTGACACCCGTGCCACTGTTCAGCAGCGACAGCAACTGGCCCAACGCCAGCACCAGCAGCGTGTCTTTGTTGCAGATGTGCTCGCGTGCAAGTCGCCATGTGCGCCCACACCACGCCTGCTCCTGTTGCTGCTGCTGCTGCTGTTGCTGCTCCGTTGGCTCGGCTGCATCACTCAGCACTGTCGCCATCTTCACGTCACTCTGCTGCGGTAACTGGAGCAAGCGAGTGCGTTCGTTGTGCACATCCAACAAGCCACCTTGCCCCATCCTTCCCCCGCCTGCTGCGGGTGTGGTGTGCACGAGGTGTGTGTGCGTGCGTGTAACAAGCTGCTGCTGAGGAAAAAAACAGGGTGTTGTCGCGGCATACAACTGCTGCGTTTGAAACACACAACACCATCTCACCAAATGAGCGAGGAAAGTGGTGCGGGTGGTGGCAGTGGTGTGGCGGTGCTGATCGCGCAGCGCTTGGTGTCGCCCGGGTTTGCTCAAGACCCTGACACCAAGGAGACCGCTCGCACCTTCTTCAACATTATGCTCACCTGCCGTGAGCTGTACCACGACCTGCCATGGGCCATGCCAAAGTGGTGCCTCCAGGAGCTGCTCGCGGAGGATCCTGCCACCCAGCGCGGAAACGCCATTGCGCAGTGGATGGACATGTTCCAGTCCGGTTTGAGCGGACCACTGGCGCTACCGCAGCAGGACGACAGTAACGACACGGGCAGTGGCAGTGGCTGCAGCCACCACAGCGGCGGCGGCGACAGTAGCGAGGACGATGCCCGCGTTGCGTGCTGGCTGGAGAACCGGTTCCTCGTTTACTCATGGCTTGGCACCATGTGGGACAGCAACTGTGGGTTCCTGCGCGCCAGGCTGGCGAATGCAGAGGAGAAACCGGAGTTCTGGCGCAAGTTTAGCCAGTGTGGGCATGTCGACTTTGGCTCACTGCAAGACCTCATCAGCTGGGATGCAAAGGCACGCGAGCGGGGAGCAGGGAGCACAGTGGAACCGGAAGCGGGCGTGTTGGAGGCGGACATGGAGGAACCCCACGCAACACAGGGCGCAGCAAGGGTGACAGTGGACAGGGAACAGGGAACAGGGACAGAGTGACAAAGAGAAAGACGCCAACGACGATGGCGGCGACGGTGGCGACGGCGGCGATGGTGATGACGACGACGATCCCACTCCCACACAACGCGAACAACAGCAACAGCAACAGCAACAGCAGCAGCAGCAGCAACAACAACATCATCATCATCGCCGCCCTGCACCCGCGCTGTTCTCCTTGCAAGCGACGCTTCAGCAGCAAGACGAAGCCAATCACCTGCACAGCCTGTGCTCCACGCTCCTCCTGCATTCCCGCGGCCATAGCGTCGATCTGGCTTTGTGGAAGAACCTCGAGTCCTTGACGGTTGCCCATGTGGACAGGCTCGTGATTCATGCTTACGCAGCAATGGCTGAGCGTGTCTCTTTCCATGACGTGGCACACCTTTGGTGGCAGACATCGCAGGACCAGCATGCGATCCGTGGGGAATTCCAGCACGTGCGGCACTGCACCCTCATCTACCAGGCGGCCCCCGTTGACGTGAGTGCGCTGGCTGGCGTCGCGTCTCTCAGGCTGCAGAGTCTGCGGCCGTCCCAGGGCGACACCCACCTCGACCTTGCACCACTTGTGGGCGTGGGCCAGCTGGAAATATTCGACAGGCAATGCATCAACTCACAGCCAGCCATTGCTGCGGCACGCGGCACCGTGGACGTCACCGAGTGCAACATCACCACTGACACCCTCGTTGCCACCCGCGTCAACATCACACGGACCGTCTCCGTGCCACCTGGCCTGCACCTCCCCAACGCCACGCACATTGAGCTCCATGACGCTGCCACGAGTGTGCTCACCTGCCCCGCCCACCTCCACCAGCTCATCGTGCGAGACCGCCGTCGGCACTCCCACGCGCTGCCAGCGTTCACACACGCGTCGCAGGTGCACCTGGAGCTGAGCCACGCGCTCACGCCCGAGCAGCTGACGGACCTCGGCAGGCGCACACGGCACCTCACCATCTACCGCAGCCTCGGGCACGTCAGCGACCTGTGCGGCATTCCAGAGAGCACGCACGTGTCACTGGTGGACGTGCGCGTGGATGCACCTGTCCCGCCGTGTGTGAAAGAGCTGCAGCTGACCATGCGCGGTGGGCTCTCAGCCAGCTTCGTGGCCAGCGTCCCACGCCTCTCGCTCCGTGGCAGCGTCCGGCGCGAGCGCATTCAAGACTTTCACCTTCTGTCTGGCCGCCCCACACCTTTGGTGGCAGACATCGCAGGACCAGCATGCGATCCGTGGGGAATTCCAGCACGTGCGGCACTGCACCCTCATCTACCAGGCGGCCCCCGTTGACGTGAGTGCGCTGGCTGGCGTCGCGTCTCTCAGGCTGCAGAGTCTGCGGCCGTCCCAGGGCGACACCCACCTCGACCTTGCACCACTTGTGGGCGTGGGCCAGCTGGAAATATTCGACAGGCAATGTATCAACTCACAGCCAGCCATTGCTGCGGCACGCGGCACCGTGGACGTCACCGAGTGCAACATCACCACTGACACCCTCGTTGCCACCCGCGTCAACATCACACGGACCGTCTCCGTGCCACCTGGCCTGCACCTCCCCAACGCCACGCACATTGAGCTCCATGACGCTGCCACGAGTGTGCTCACCTGCCCCGCCCACCTCCACCAGCTCATCGTGCGAGACCGCCGTCGGCACTCCCACGCGCTGCCAGCGTTCACACACGCGTCGCAGGTGCACCTGGAGCTGAGCCACGCGCTCACGCCCGAGCAGCTGACGGACCTCGGCAGGCGCACACGGCACCTCACCATCTACCGCAGCCTCGGGCACGTCAGCGACCTGTGCGGCATTCCAGAGAGCACGCACGTGTCACTGGTGGACGTGCGCGTGGATGCACCTGTCCCGCCGTGTGTGAAAGAGCTGCAGCTGACCATGCGCGGTGGGCTCTCAGCCAGCTTCGTGGCCAGCATCCCACGCCTCTCGCTCCGTGGCAGCGTCCGGCGCGAGCGCATTCAAGACTTTCACCTTCTGTCTGGCCGCCCCAAGCTCGCCATGCAAGAGTGCACCATTGACGGCGAGATTGCTCGTTGTCAGCACGTGCGCCTTCGCGACTGCAGCGGCGCGGCTGCTGTTGCTTCCGTTGACTGCCTGGTGGTCAATGAGGCAAGGCTCGGCGCACCCGCAGACGACGATGACCAAGTTGCCAGCACCAACATCAACATCATCTGCTTCAGGCAGGCACGTGCGCTTCGCCTCACGCGCGTGCGTGACGTGAGCACGTGTCGCCTCTGTTACTGCGACATTGAGGACTTTGCCTGCATGCAAGGCGTCAAGCGGCTTATCCTGTCAAACTGCTCCTTCAACAGCCTTGACGGCCTCCCGCCCGTGCAGTCTTTGGTCATTCGCAACTGCACCAACGCGCGAAATCAGCGCTGGGCAGACGTGGTGTTGGTGGACCGCCCGCCCTCGGAGCTGTCGTCTCTCCTTGCTGAAGCGCTGCGGCAGGAACAGCTCGCAGCCATCAGCCGAAAGCCGCCCAGGACGAAGAGGGGGCGCAGAGTGCAAGTCAGGGCGCGACGACGAGGTGGTGGTGACTGATGTTGAGATGGAGCGGGGGGAGGTTCATGGGGAATGCTGGGTGTTCTTGTGGATGATGAGTGTTTTGTGTGCAGGGTACATGTTTTTTTTTTTTTTTTTTTTTTTGGTTGGGGTTAGTGAGCGAGACCGTCGATGGAGTCTCTTACACTCGGCTGCGATTGGTCTTCCTTGCAGCTCTTGCAGCTGCTTCGTTGCCCTGTGCTGATGGTGTGTATGTGCATCTTTAATTGATCTACAAGCAACAACCGACAATACATTCACAGCACTGCTTCGCGCACAAGACCTCACCTCACCTCGCGTCACGCGTGCGTGCAATGTTGACAACAAGACTTTGTACGCGTATGTGTGTGTTTGTGTGTGTTTGTGTGTCCTTTCCATCTGAGCCACGTTTCTTGTTGTTCAAGCGTGTGGTAGCTGAAGGGTCTTCTTGAGTGAGAGATGGTACACATAAAGATACTTAAAACCTCAAGCAAAGCGAGTGAAAGGAGTCATACAGGGCGTCACATCATCAGCCCGTCAATAAACAGCTGGAACGCGTTCTGATGTGGTGATACCACCACGACAAGCAATAACAACACCTCACGACACACGACTAACATGGGCAGATTGGAGAAGACAGAATAAATACTACAACACACACTCTGTTGGCACACGTACACCAAAGGGACATCAAAGCAGATACGCACACACACACACACACACACACACACGCCAACACCATAATGAACAAAATCAACACCAAGCAACGCCAAACTGAAATCAAATCACGTCAAAAACATGGCTTCACTAGAATCATCAAACGCACACGCGCACACGAAACAGGAACGGCGCATGGCATCGTGTCACCACATGGCACCGTGCAACAACGCCCAGTGAGCAACAATGCAAACGCTTTCTGTAGAATCAAAACACACAAAACTAGATACGATTTGTTGAGGCAGAGAGAGATAGAGAGAAACATCACGAGGACGATGGGCGAGAAGTGCACCTGAGCAGGGCGTGCGATGATGACGACGACGGCGATGGTGGTGCCGGCGGGTGCGACGAGTGGCCAAGCGCGCGCTTCTCGCTGCTGTTCTGTCTGCGCAGGAGCGGGGCGGACCGGAGGGCGGGCATGGTCGGGTGCATGGACGGCGGCTCAATGTCGGGGTGCGACACAAAGCTCTGCACGGAGTCCGCTCGCGAGCTCGGTTGAGACCTGTTGTCAGGGGGGGGGGAACACAAGTACACTCGGGTGAGCTGGATGGCGAGCGTGTGTGATTGTAGTTGCGGTCGTGATTGTGGTTGGCGATGGGGGGGGGGACAACAAGCACAAATACAAGTACACAGGGACACACAGGGACACACAGGGACACACAGGGACACACAGGGACACACACACACACACACACACACAAAGGAAACTCACCCGTCGTCGCTGTGTGTGGCGGGCATGTGCTTTGACTCGCGCCGAACAATGCTGTCGACATCCTGCCATGACGACCGCAGCTGGCCCTGCAGACTGTCCCGCACGCGCTCCTGCGAGAGGTACTGCCAGTAGCGGTGGTCGACGCGAAGGGGCGACAGCTCCCGCGCCTGGGACCGCCGGTTCAGACCTGTGCATCGCGGTGGTGATAGTGGTGGTGGTGGCGATGGTGAGACAGTGGAAGCGGAAAAAAGGTGGAGGCGTAAAAGGGTGGCGGACAAGAAAGAGGAAGAAAACAAAAAAAAAAAAAACAGCTCATGCCAATACGAAAACACACCCACACCCACACACACCCACCCACACCCACACCCACACACACCCACCCACACCCACACCCACACACACCCACCCACACCCACACCCACACACCCACACACACTCACACCCACACCCACACACCCACACACACACTCACATCCACCCACCCACCCACACCCACACCCACACACCACACACACCACACACACCCACACACACCCACACACACCCACACACACGCACACACACACACACACACACACACCTGGCGAGTCGTATGTGGTGCTCTGGACGGGTGCTGGTGCGAGGGTGGCGCGTGGGGGAACGGCATACTTGCCGTGCCACGTCTCGCGCATGCGATGGTTCCTGCTTGCGGCCTGCACAAACTGCTTATGGTGTCGCACACGCTGCACAGCCGCCCGCCTGCGCTCGAGGTCCTCAAACTGCGCGCGGGAGAGCGACTCGTGCACGCGGCGGCGCATGATGACGCGGTCCGTCTGCTTAAGCATGCGGTCAATGTCCCATCGGTTCATCGCCTTCATGTGCTGCATCGCCCGCTCCTCGCGCTGCTGCCGCACGCGCTCGTGGCGCTCGCGGTCCTCTTCCCCACGCGCCTCAGCCATCGTGTCCAGCAGGGACTGGTGGGTGCTCTTGTCGCGGTCAAGGTGCGCGCGATCGGCAATGGCAGTGGAGATGCGGTGCGCCATGGCCTCCCGCTTGCCGTCCTCAACAGCATCCACCTTGCTGCGCTTGTCCATGGCATCGTCCCTCTCCTTTGCCCGCCGGTGTGAGCGCGACACAGACCTGGCTGCGGACATGAGCACGCCCGCAGGCCCCCCTGTGTACCGCGCACCGCGCAGGTTGCGCCGCCGCCGCTGCGCCGCTGTCGACGGCGAGTGCGAGTGCTGGGCAGTGCCTGCGTGCGTCGCGGCAGTCCCGGCTGCGCTGCGCATGTGTCCGCGCTCGCTGGAGGGCGGGGTGGTTGGCCGCCGCGCGTCTGTGAGCGACGTGGCAGACAGCGGGCCTGCTGGCGGTGACGCCGGCGTGTCTGATTGGGCAAACAGCGGAGCCATGGTGACGGATCCGCGCGAGGCAACGGTGGACCAGCAACGATTCATTGCCGCCCGCCCGTATTCGTTCTCCGCATCCAGCACATCTGTTGTCGACGGCGCCGTCTGCGGCGGCTGGTGGTGGTGCGGTGGTGCAAGTGTGGAACAGGACGAGCTGCGGTGCAGGCTGCCCATGCTGCTGCTGCCGATGCTGCTGGTGTGGTGGGAGAGGGTGAGGGCGCTGGAGATGTTGGTGCTGGCCAACACGTTGCCGGCGGACCAGTTGGGATGCACAACTGAGCCCGCGTACTCAGGCAGATGCGAGCTGGCGCGGGACGACAACACATCACGCCCACTGACACGATGCTGCTGTTGCTCGTGTTGTTGGTCATGTTGTTGCGCGGTTCCTTCCACATCATCATCACCATATACGCCGCCATCACCACGCTCATCACCGTTCTCGTCCTCGTCGTCGCTGCCACTGCCAAAGACGACGGCAGCCGCGCTGCTTGGGCGGCTCGGGTGCAGGATGGCTAGCATGTCTGCTGGTCGAATGTGGGCAGGCAGGGCGTTAATGCGCACGTTGTCGGAAACACTGCGGCTGCGGGGTCGCTGGTGTTGCTGGTGTTGTTGCTGGTGTTGTGGGTGTGACATGCTGGTGGTGCTTGTGACGCTGGCGGATGGGCCGAGAGGCGGCAGGACAACACCGCCACTGCCGCCACCACCAGCGCTGCTGCTGCTGCTGCCTGTAGCTGTTGCTGTGGCGGCGGCGATGGTGCTGGCGCTTGTGGTGTGCTTGAGGTGGTGGCGGCGGCGCGGCGCATCACGTGAGGACGGCCTGTACCCGCTGTCGATGGGCGCTGTGGGGCCGCCGTCCTGGATGCTGGTGGCGGAGTGCGTGCCGCGAACACCAAGTGGGTTGCGTTGGCTGGTGTGCAAGCCGTAGCTCAGGGCAAGGTCGTCATCGTGGCCAGGGTGCTCATCCGCGACGTCGGGCAGACCAAAGTATGATGCCGAGCTGGGCGGGTCTGTGGTGTAGTGGTGGCCAAGGTGGGTCGTGCTTGTGGTGCTGCTCTGGCCGCTTGTTCTCGTTCTCGCATGCCTGCTGCCGGTGCGGCTGTGTCTGGTGGCGGGGCGAGAGCCCGAGGTGGCGAGGTCACGCTCGCTCATCTGCAGCTTCTCAAGCACGCTGCTCACCAGCTTTGCCTCATCCACATGGAATGGTTCGCTGCTCCGATCCGAGCGCTGGCGATGGCCATTGTCGCTGTGACCAACATCCTTGCCTTGCGTGGCATCCACGCCCGCAGTACCTTCGTTGGGACCTGCGTCTTGCGGTTGCTGCGGTTGCTGTGGTTGTTGTTGTTGCAGAGGCGGTGGTGGCGTGGTGCCATCGCTGACCTCTCCCTTCTCAGGGCTGCTGTGATCGTGGGCATCGTCGCCTTCTGCTTGCACTGCACCGGTAGACAGAGCGTCGTCTTGGTGTTGCTGTGCGTGGCTGCCGCCGTCGCCCTCGGTCTGGGGTGTGGCCGGCGCTGTCGGGGGCCGTGACGATTGGTCGCACGACGACATGGACATGGGCGTTGCCGGCTGGTGGTGTTGTTGTTCATGCGGTTGTTGATGCGGTTGTTGTTCATGCGGTTGTTGTTCATGCGGTTGTTGTTCATGCTTGGAGTACTGCGCCGATAATGCGGGCGCATCTGAAGCAAGCATCCTCACGTTTGAAGCCATCCCCAGCATTGGGAATGAGTACTGAGCCGCCGCGGTTGAGAGGATCGTGCTGGTGGGTGATGGGTGAGTTCGAGGAGGGGAAGGGGTATGCGTGCGGCCGTTGGAATGCTCAAGTGGATGACGCGATGCTGTGGTTGTGGTCGTGGGCTGTTGCTGGTGGTTTGTTACTCAAGTTGTTGTTCAAGGTGTTGCTGTTCAAGGTGTTGCTGTTCAAGGTGTTGCTGTTCAAGGTGTTGCTGTTCAAGGTGTTGTTGCTGAGGCGTTTGCACGTCTCTTGTGGTTGTTGTCAAGACGCAGCACGCTCTTGCGTGAGTGTTGAAGAAAGAAAAGTCCCTGATACACTGCTGTCCCCGTTGCCGTTCTTGTGTTAAAAATGCAGTTGATCCTTGCGGTGGCATGGGTTGCTTGCCTGCTTGCGGTTTCTCAGTGGTGGGTGATGTTCGCGGCAGTGCACGCATGCATGGAAGCTGCTGTAGGTTGTTCAGATCACCACCACCAAAGGCCTCAAACGTCTTGGTTGCCTCTTGTTTGCGTGCGTGCGTCTTTGCTTGCTCGCTCGGTGTTGCGCGCGAGAGGGAGACGTTACAACTGCTGTTGCGGGGCGATAGATAACGGAGGACAACAACCCTAATGCTCGGTGTCAAGGAGGAAGGGGGTGCAGCCGTGCGCCGTCTGAGCATACATAAATGACGGTCGCACAACACCCCCGCTGGTCAGGTGCTGCCCAGACGCTGGCTGTGGCGTTGAGAGCGGCGGTGAGAGCGATGCGTTTCGACAGGAATGTCCGCTGGCAGTGTCACCCACACGGAAATTCCATTGAAGATATAAGCAAATCGTAAACAACGCACAAGTGTTTGGTGGTGCGTTGTTGTTGTTGTTGGGGTCGCTCGTCGCTTAGGACGCAATACATGCTGTCGGTGAGGTATTGAGAATCTTTCCAAAAAATCGTATGCTTTGCGCGTGTGTGGGGGTTTTGTTTGTGTTTGTTGTTGTGCGGTTGTGTTGTGCTTGCCTGCAAGGCAAGCGCGCTATCGCAGCAACAAACAACACACACACACACAACAACACACGCCTTCTTCCTCTTCATTCCTTCTTCCACGCTGCTTCGCTTGTGCTTGTGTGTGGTGTGTGTACCGTCTCACGTCTCTCTCTCTTTGCAGCGCTCTGCTGTTGCAGAGAGGAAGCTTTGTGGTCCAGCTTTGCGGTCTTGAGACCTGACAAACAAAACCTACAAAGGCAAAAGCAGAGCTCAGCTTTCAAGCAGCTTGCAAGCAGCGTTCATTTGTTGTTTGTTCTCCTTTGCCAGTTCTTCTTTCTTCTTTCTGCTTTGCTTGTTCTGACTCTCGTGCGTGTCGCCGTCTGATCACCTTGTTTTGCAGCATCCGCACACCGCACACACGCACGCCGCATCCGTTGACACAAAGCTACACACAAGCAGCACAGCGAACCAAGACCATGTCAACCATGTTGGTGCTGGTTGCGGCGGTGACGATGATGACGTCGCCAGGAGGGCTTCTTCAGACCGCGCTTGGATCCTCCGTGGACCTGAGCTCGCTGTACAGCAACGCTGCCTACCAGTGCGCGGCAGATCGCTGCTACAACCCAACGCAGCAATGTACCGCCCAGACAGGGTGCAACGCCGTCCTTGCCTGCAGGCAGGCCTGTTACACCTCCTACCCTCTCACCACCAACAAGCTTTCGCTCGTCAACTGCCTTGAGTCCTGCCCCGCGCAGGCAGACTCCACAGGCAGCGCCCTCTACGCCCAATACGAAGCATGCTACACCGTCATGTGCCAAGATGGTGTGTAATGTGCGCGTGTGTGTGTGTATACGCATGCGTGTGCGTGTGCGCGTGTGCGTACGCGCGTGTACGTGTGTGGGTGAGTGCGTGCGTGTGTGTGTGTGTGTGCGCGTGTGGGTGCGTGTGCGCGCGTGTGTGTGTGTGTGCTATTCGATACACCTGTGTATGTTCTTGCGTGTGTGTGTGTGTGTGTGCACTACGGTTCGTTTTCTTCCGCTTTTTCCCGTGTCTCACTGCAGCCTACATTTGTATGTCACTCATCCGCATTTCTCCACCCTCTTCCCCCTCCTCGAATCCCAATATCATCCAATCACGTTGCTCACGGCTTTTACTTTCCATCGGCAACAGTGGTGCAATACGAACTGTGTGCTGGCTACAACACTGAGCAAGTGTGCGAGACCCAGGAGGGCTGCACGTTCCTTTCGGACGAGGCCGAACCATGCGTTTACGGAGGTGGGTCTGCCGTCTGCAGTGCAGTGATGTCGAGTGATGTCATTCACCCATCATTTTCTTGTGGGTTTGTGGTTCATGCAGTCGATGCCGGAAGTGGACTTGAATGTGGGATGAGCTGCGTGCATTTGTGATTGTTGGCTGTCTGTCTCTCTGTCTGCGTCCCTGTGGATGTAGTCTCAAGCATCCATCACATGCATGACAGCTCGACTTGCAATCTCACACCATGCGCTCGCACCCTTTGTCAGACTTCCAAGCACCAGAGTTCACGGCGTGTGAGGTTGGCATTGCCCGCCCAACCCGTGAAACCTCAAACACGCAAGCAGTCTCCTGGCGAACCATCGAGGCGGTGAGTGGGCAGCAGCACCACGTGCCGTCATGCCTTGCTGATTGGCACTTGCACCTGCTGCTACTGCTGCTACTGCTACTGCTACTGCTGCTACTGCTGCGACTGCTACTGCTGCGACTGCTGTACGTGCCTTGCTTGTATAAAATCAATCTCACAGCAGGCACGTGGGCACCACTTGCAGGAGGACGATCGCGGTGGCGTTGTTGTCGTGGAGCAGATTGAAGGGCCCTCACGTGGTTCAGAGTTCCCCATTGGCACAACACAGGTGTGTGTGTATGTGTGTATGTGCGTATGTGCGTATGTGTGTATGTGTGTGCATATGTGCGTGTGTGTGTGTGTGTGTGTTCGTAGTTACAGTCGTTGGACGCTCTTGTCACCCATTTATTTCCATGCCTGCCTGAACGCGTCATCTCGTGTGGTGCTCATTGTCACTCTGCTGCTGCCCCTCCTGCCTGGTACCTGTCGCCTATGATCTGTGTTCAGATTGCTTACCGCGCCACGGACGAGAGCGGCAACACCGCAGACTGCGAATTCACCGTCACCATTTACGGTCCGTCAACTCCCCTGTTGTGTTGTGACATAATTCCCTCGCACTTGCCTGATTGGTGTCTTGGTGTCATGTGCATGCGTGCTTGCATGTGCGCGTCCCCCGCTTGTTTTGTGACCGCCGCCCACCCACCTCCTCAACGCTACTGCTTGTGGACCTTGCACCATGCAGACGACACGGCTCCGACGCTTGTCAACTGTCCGAGCTCACGCACGGTTCGACCGGATATCGAGGACATCATCTATGGTGCGTTTATCTGATCGTGTATTGATTGATGGTGGCATGTGGCTTGCTTCCCTGAGCGGTTTAGTTTCCTGTCTTGTCCATTCACTCCTGTTGTGTCACTCACGACAAGTGTGTGTGTGTGTGTGTGTGTGTGTGTGTGTGTGTGTGTGCCTCGCGTTGCCTTTGTCAATCAATGTGCACTACGTGCATGTTCATATTCACACACTCGCTTGTATTTTCACACGTATGCAGATGAGAACTCTGTGCCGCTTGTGCACGTGGAGTGGATCGCTCCTCTCGTCGAGGACAATGACGCAGCGGCGCTTGTGCCGCCTTCGCCAGAACGGTATGAAGCAAGAAACAAGCAACCATGTTAAACGGCATGGCTTGACATGTCGCCCAATCATGCCTTGCACTGCACTCACACACACGCGCGCGCGCATACATGATCGTACCTGCTTCCGTGCACTTGTTTACATTTTCTTACTCACTCACTCATTCACTCACTCACTCACTCACACACAGCCCTGAGGCAAACCTGACCGCTGGTGTGCACACGTTTGAATATCGCGCAGAGGACAATGCAGGCAACGTCGACACGTGCTCGTTCGATATTGACATCCAGCCGTCATCCACAACATTCTTCCAGCGCCGTGTCCGCACCTCTCTCGACCACACCCAGCCCGTGCGTGTCGTGTTGAGATCATGTTTGGCGTCGTGTGAAACATGCCTTTGTTGCAGTTTGTTGTGGTGCTCTATGAGATGCAGTCACAATCGCTCATGTTTGTTGGGCATTTTGAAGCTAGGTCGTATGAACTAACTATTTTGGTGTGTGTGTGTGTGTGTGTGTGTGTGTGTGTGTGTGTGTGTGTGTGTGTGTGTGTGTGTGTGTGTGTGTGCAGATTGCAACGTTCCCCGTGCGCGTCAACCCTAACGCGTGTGCGCTTCGCTGCCTCTCCGATTCCGAGTGCAGCTCCTTCCTGTCAGTTTGATGCACCATTGACTGCAGACAGCGTGCTTGTGCGGCTGTGTGTGCGGCTGTGTGTGCGGCTGTGTGTGCGGCTGTGTGTGCGGCTGTGTGTGCGGCTGTTTGTGAATGCATCTGTGGCTGCGATTGTGCTGTGTGCCATGTGTTCACGCAGTTGCGCTCCGCTGGGCCGCCTCAATCGTGCTCATCAGTCCGTCAATCTCACCTTGATTCCTCCCGTGCGCCCGTCCTCACGTGCACATGAGTTCAGCACGGACCGGCTTGGCGTGGGCCTCTGCTCGCTCCTTCGCGAAAACACGACCACCGCCACCACCCTCCAGGAGTTTTCACGCGATCTCTACGAACGCCAGCCCTTCAGGTCCGCGTCTATGTGTGTATGTGTGTGCATGTGTGTGTGTGTGTGTGTGTGTCTGTGCGTATGTACGCTCGCGCGTGTGTGCATGTGTCTGCGTATGTACGCTCTCGTGTCCCTACGTGTGTGTGTGTGTATGATACACGCTTCGAGCTGTGCGAAAGCCTGATGTACATTCCTGTCTGCGTTTTCTTGGCAGTGCGTTTGAGTGCGCATACACGGCCGTCGCTGCGTGTGGAGACCTTGCCGATCTTCCCCCATCCACATGTGCCAGCGACATTTCAGACGTTGCCGCCTGTGCTCACCCTTACCTTGAAGGTGCGTGTATGCGTGTGCTGTGCTGTAATGTGCTGTGCTGTGCTGTGCTGTGTTTCAGTTGTCGCCCCTTGAGCGCTTTCCTTCATACACACACATACATTCACACATGACGCATGCGCATACACACAAACACGCACGCACACGCACTTTGCCCTTTGCCACCGCAGCATGCCGTGACAGCCAGTTTGTGCGCCGGACCAACGATGCTATTGTCGCTGCAAACAACACCTGCTACGGTGAGCGTGTCATCTGCATGCTTAAGCTGTGTCTCACACGAGTGTCTGACACGATCATGCAACACGATGCCCCCTCCCGCAATGTTCGTGTGCTGTCCTGATCACTTGTCGCTTTTTTCGAACCCTGTCCCCCCTCCCCCCAAAAACAATCTTTTCTCCAGTTCTGCTCACTTGCATGTCATATCGTGTCTCATCTCTTCGATGCTTCTTTGGTTCCGTGGACGCATGCTTGATTGTTGCTTGCAGGCATCATGGCAGAGGAGACACTCCCACCGTCGTCAGCGTACGAATGCGACACGGAAGCGTCCTCCTTTGAACAGTGCTACTCGTGCTGCACTTCAAGCTTCGAGACCGCCGTCGAAGACTGCGACGTACGTGCACATGCATGCACGCGCGTGTACAGTATGGCTTGTTGATGAGACCGTGTCACCATGTGTCTACACGAATGGTTGTGCGCTGTGCTCACTCACACACACATGTCCGTGCTGTGTTCATCATATTTGTTCCTGGTGGCAGGGCTTGGTGGCGCTGCTTTCTGCGTGTATGTCTGAGCGCGAGGAGCACTTGGACGTCTGCGCATCGGACTGCTTCGACGCATTCACACAGTACGACTTCACACTGCATCACACTACACCACACATTCACTGCACGCACAGACACATGAAAGTGAAAAAGGCAAAAAACACAAAACACAAACACGAACGAAACTTCAACACACACACACACCACGGTTTCTCATGTCCAAATTTGCCATATTTGCAGAGCGACGGCGCCAAGTGATGATGTTCCATCTGGATATGTCGACGTGGTGCTCCCACTTCTTCTCTCCGACGTACCGTTTGCCAACGTTTCTGCACACGTGCGCGCCGATATCTTCCTGAGGTGCGAGCGCTTGCCATTATTGTGTTGCATCGTATGCACCGGCGCTTCTGCTGTTCTGGGCTGCATTGCGTGCCTGTTGATGTGTTAATGTGCTGTGTGTGTGTGATGTAAGCGACAACGAAGTCAAGTTGCATGACACGACGATAGGGCGGTTGCCATCACGACCACACCCACTCCTCATGCTCACGCACCAACTCACTGCACCCCTCACTTCTGCTCACTCCTGTCTCGCCTCCCCTTTGTCCCTCGTCCCAACACCAACCGTTGTGGATGCAGTGCTGTTGCTGCGTTTGAGTTCAACAGCAGCGCGCTCGTGTTCCAGGTGCAGCAGGTGGACGACGGCTCCACCCTCGTCACTTTCTCCATTCGCCTTCCAAGCACATACACCGTGCCAGAGGTTCGCTGACGACCACATGTGGGGGAGAGTTGCGCCGTCGGGTCTCGCTGATCAGAGGAGACGTGTCTGCAGCATGGCGCTCGTTGTGTGTTGTTATACAACACACACCCACAATGCGTGCGGAATGCATTTCAGTTTCAACTCACGGCCATCACACGCTTTTGCTTGCTCACCACGTGTGGCACATCACGTGTGCACAGGTTGATCTGGACTCGTCCTTCCGTCGCCGGCGTCGTGATGCTGTCCGCGCTGCCGAGATAGCCTCCCTCTTGCAAGGTGGGTAGCCGTGATGTGATGTGCAACACCTGCCACTGTTGCCTGCAAGCAGGAGGACACGGACCCACTCATGCCCGCGCCCACTGCATGTGCGCACACTTAACCTCACGTTCTCTTCCTACCACCACATCCACAGACGCCAACGTGTTGGCAGCACTTGTTGCGCGATTTCGCTTCATCTTCCAGGCGGAGACGGGCTTCTCGACGGCTGTTGGTGTCACCACGATGTTCTCCGTCTCTGGTAAGTTGTCTGCTGGTATGCTTGCTTGCAAGCATGCATAACAACGGCTACAAAGCGTGCTTCAAGCGCACACATTCAGCGTGAGTGAGCTGCTCCATACAAGTACCAGCGATTCCTCACCCGTGTCGTCCTTTTGCTTGCATGCACACTGATGCAGTTGCGGAAGACAGTGCGAGTTTGCTCACCACGACAAGCACGTCTGCGTCATCAACGTAAGAGCGCGCTGCTGCCGACGTGGTTTCATGATGTTTGCTGCAACTGCGTTTGATGAAACCGATTGTGCTGATGTGTCATGATGTGACATGACATGACCTCACTCTCGCTCGCCGCCACCATGTTGCACACACAAACGCACCTGCACACACACACACACACACCATAACACGTACGCACACACACTCACTCACAACACACACATACACACACACGCACATTCACGTCCATATGCACACGTTGTGACGGACAACAGGGCCTCTGGTGGCAGCACAACATCCGCTGCGTCAGCATCGACCGCAACGGAAACATCCACGACAACCATTTTTGTCCCTCGCTTCTCGGGAAGCAGCAACGAGGTACGTGCGCTTGTGTTGCTGCTTACATGTAGAGAAAGGAGGAACAGTATCATAATCGCTCGCAATTGCTCGCATGTGTTATACAGATGGCCTGCCTGTATGCTGTTTGTCGTGAGCGTGTCGTAATTTGCACTCCTCTCTGTTGTTCGCGTATCTCACTCCCCCTCCCCTCTGCACACGCTTGTGCACGAAACAGGAAACGACATCCACTGGCGTGGTGATTGTTGGCGTTTTGGGCGCTCTGCTCTTTGTCATCTTCGTGATTGTTCTCGTCAAGACAATCAAGCGGTACGACACGCTGTTGCTTGCAAGCACGTGCGTGCACAATGCACTTCGCACACGCACACACGCGCACTTCGCACACACACACACACACACACACACACACACACACACACACACACACACACACACACACACACAAGCACGCACGCACGCACGCACGCACACATACTCACCCTCACACACATGGTGTTGGGCACATTGTTTGTTCTTCACAGGAAAAAAGTACAGGATCGCCGTCGCTCCTCGTGGGTGCAACCGGTGCGTTGATTGTTGCGACGCACGGCAACCGCGGCTTCCGCTCACTCTGTGCTGTTGCTTCTTCTTCATGTGACTTTGTGATGTGAACTGTGTCACACTCACACACATGTGCACAACTTGTGCTGCACAGCGCTGTAGTGCTACAATGGCGCGCATCACGCACGTCATATCGCCTTGCTCATTCCCCTCTCCCTCCCTCCTCCATGCCACTCGTGTTTCTTCGTACCCCCCAATGATGCGTTTGTGCGTTTGCAGGTGGCTGTGATTCCGTCTCAGTCCTCAGAGGCGCTGCCCACCACCTCCCCCAGCACTCGCCACGTGCGTGGCGGCTACTTTGGCCCGGGCATTGTCCTCCCAGATATCGGCGCTTCGGTAAGCCTGGTCGAGAGAGAGAGAGAGAGGCAGAGAGAGAGATTGTGTGTGTGTGTGTTGTCAGCGTGCACACACGTGTGTACATTTGCACCAATGTCTGGTGCATACACTCGTTTCGTTGCTCACAGTCTCGCTCTCACCTCCCGGACTTGCAAACCTATACACCACCACCTTCACGCCACCAACAGAAGAAGACCGGCTCCCCTGCTCTTGCTGCGCGTCGCTCGCCTTCATCCAGCATGGATATCGGGAAAGGTCGCGGATCCCCCACCCGCGCCGCCACCATTGCCCGCCCGCAGCCACCAGCCGCATTGCCGTCGCTCACGGGCCCACAGCGGCCCGCCCCGAGCAACCCGTTTGCTCGCGTGTCTGCAAGCAAGCACGTGCTGCCACCATCGCCATCTCCAAAGTCAACCCCATCCCCCAAGTCAAAGCGCTCGCCCAACACGCCAGACAGCGGACAGGACGAGTCGGAGGCCTGAGCTCCTCCCTTTCAACTTCTCACATTCTCTCACGTTCTCTCGCGTTCTCGCTTGACATGACGTGATGTGACGTGACGTTGTGACTCCATTTGCTCTCTTCTTCTCTTTCTCCCTTTCGTTCTATTTGACCCCAAACTCCATGAGCGAGATTGGTATGTTGATGTGTGCGTGTGTGCGTGTGTGTGTGTGTGTGTGTGTGTGTGTGTGTGTGTGTGTGTGTGTGTGTGTGTGTGTGTGTGTGTGTGTGTGTGTTGATGTGTGTGCAGACTTGGCTGGAGCGATCTATTGTCTCCCCGCCTACAGGTTCTTTTTTGAGCGTTTGCTGTTCTTGCTTCTTTTGTTGGTGTTGATTGATATGACATGACCACAGGCAGGAGAGCTGTTGCATTGCAGTCTTGCCTGATCTCTTTTCTGTATCTCTCTTGTGACCTCCACACGGCAGCCGTTGTTTTGTTGAACTGGTGTGCGTGCTCTTGCTGTTGGGAGAGAGAGGATGGGGTGAATGACGCGTTGTTGTGGATGTCGGACGAACGTTCCGTCTTTCCAAACAACACCATAAACAGTAGTGACGTGATCGACAAACACGACCCACCACACCAACAACAACAATCAAGATGAGTGCGCGTGTTGGTGTGTCTGCCGGGTTCCTGCGCTCGCTTCTGGATGACCTTCGCAGTGAGCAGCCGTCATGCTGGGCTGATCTGACGACCAAAGACGTGTGTGAACGCGTGATCCTGCCTCGCGCGCAAGCACACTCCCAGCAAGGGAGTGCGTACACGGCCGTCATCGGAGCCAACTGCAACGAGAACGGCGGCGATGAAACAGCAGATGGTCATGCCGCTGTCGGCCCGGCCAACGTGTACGTGGTGCACGCGTGGCAAGACAAGTTTGTGGACCTGGCCAACATGCTGATCCAGTTTGCAGAGGATGAGGTGACAAAAGGCAGCGCCGAGAAGGAGGGGAATGGCTCTACGAAGCAATGCTTCTTTTGGATTGACATCTTCTGCGTCAACCAACACGGCGCCACCACTGCCGAGCATCCCCCAGAATGGTGAGTGTTTGTGTGCATGTGCGTGCGCGTACGTGTGTATGTGTGTGCGCGTACGTGTGTGTGTGTGTGTGTGCGCGTACGTGTGCGTGTGTGTGTGTGCGTTTGTGTGTGTGTATGTGTGCGTTTGTACGTGCGCACAATTGCGTGTTCGAGGCGCTGCACAACCGCGTACTGCGCCCCAGAGCAACAACAACAACAACAACAACAACAACAACAACAACAACAACAACAACAACAACAACAACAACAACAACAACAACAACAACAACAACAACAACAACAACAACAACAGCACACACACACACACACATACACACACAGACAGACGCTGCAATCACATCCATCACAAGCGACGCTCACGATATCGTTGCAAACACATTCGAATCTCTGCACCCCAACGCATGCACATGTGGCAAACGCAGGTGGGACACCATGCTGAAGGATGCCATTGACGAGATTGGACACACGGTCGTTGTCATGTCTCCAAGGGATACCGAAGCAACGCCAGTGAGCACGACGGCGCTCAGGCGCCTCTGGTGTCTGTGGGAGATGCACTGCAGCATCAAGGATGGCGCATCGAAGCTGATCATCCGTGTGCCCAGTAGCCAGCAAGCTGCTTTCAAGGCAGCGGTGCTGCGGGACCTCCTGAGCAGCAACAGCGACAGCAGCAGCGGCAGCGGCGGCGGTGCGTTCATGGACGCGTTTGTGCGCGTGCGCGGCGATCAAGCAGAGACATCGCTGCTGCGAGACAAGCAGTTCATTGTCCGCGCCGTTGTCAAAGGTGTTGGGTTTGCGAAACTGAACCAAGCGCTGCAAGACTGCCTGCGTTCGTGGTACCTGGACCAGCTCGAGCCATTCGTGCTCTCCTCACGACCGCACGCTGACGGCGGGCACGATGAACAAGGCAACACCAGCGAAACAACCCCACCGGCACCAACACAACATTCGGAAGCGGAAAGGGCGGGCAAGACCGGATCAGCAGCGTCAATCCCGTATGCTGTGCTGTGCCACAGGGCCGGCGACCTGCTGCTCAAGCACGGGCGGTATGCACAGGCCATTGCCATGCTCCAGCGATGCATCACGCCTGCCCCCACCACCACGTCTGACGGCAAGAGTAGTGGTGTGGACGCGGGGTTTGAGGCGGAGGTGCTGAACACGCTGGGACAGGCGTACTGCTACAACGCCACGTACGACAAGGCCATGGACTGCTTCAACCGGGCGCTCCAGCTCCAAGACCAGCAGCAGCAGGGTGAGGGAGAACAAGAGACAGCAACAGACAAGAAGGAAACAACAACAGAGCCAGCAAAAACAACAACAGAATCAGCAACAACAGCAGCAGCAGCAGCAGCAGCGAGTGCAACAAAGCCGTCTGTCACTGCTGCCTTGGCGCACCAAGGGCTGGGTCAGGTGTGCACGGCCATGTGCAAGTACGATCAAGCGCGCAAACACCTGCAAATAAGTTTTGACATGCTGCAACGGCTGCTGGGCACCAAGCACGTGCGAACCGCAAACGTGCAGGGCGACATTGGGCGGTTGCACAAGTGCATGGGCGACTATGGAGATGCGCTGGCCTTGCTCCAATCGAGCCTATCGACGCTGGAAGTAGTGGTTGGGGAGCAACACATGGACACGGCCTCCGCCCTTCACTCCATTGGAGAGGTGCATTTTTACCGGTCAGAGTACGACCTTGCGCGCGAACACCTGCACCGGTGCCTGCGGGTGCGGCTCGCCACGTGCGGGCAGCAGCACCCCGAGATTGCCATGACGTACCTTGAGCTGAGCGACGTGTACGACAGCGCTGGGGAGACGGCCCGCGCACACGAGTACGCGACCACAGCCCTCGCCATCCTGCAACGCACGGTGGGGGAGCTGCACCCGTACACGGCCAACGCCAACCACAGCCTGGGCGTGCTGGCAAGCGGGGCCGGCGACTACGACAAAGCCATGGCGTTTGCAGAGAAGGACCTGGAGATTTCGCGTGCGTCACTCGGGGACATGCACCCCGATGTTGCAGCAACCTACCTGCACATCAGCGAGATTCTTGACAACAAGGGCGACTACACGCGCGCGCGGGAATGCACGGAGACGGCGCTGCGCATTCTTCGCGCATCTGTTGGCGAACACCATCCGCGTACGGCGCTGGCGTACCGGTCATATGGGCGCATCTACGACAGCATGGGTCAGTACGATGACGCGCTGGAGCAGTACAAGACGTCGCTGCGAATCACGTTGGAGGTGCTGGGGGACACCAACCACTTCACCGCCATTGTGTACAACTCCATGGGCCAGCTGTACAAGGCCATGTGCAAGTACGATGACGCCATTGCCTGCTTTGAGAAGGACCTGGAGATCACGCGCAAGCTGGTTGGGGAGAATCACCCAAGCACAGGCGCCAGCTACAACACCATGGGCCAGGTCTATGACGACAAGGTGTGTGTGTGTGTGTGTGTGTGTGTGTGTGCGTGTGCGTGCGTGTGTGTGCGTGTGTGCGTGTGATGTGTGCGACTTTTCTTTAGAGTGTGTGGATGGTTTTGGGAGTGTGCAACTTTGTGCGTAAACGTGATTGACTTGTGTGTCCCACACGACCGTTGTGCCATCCCACTCTCCCCATGTCTCGTCCAACCCTCCCTCACCTCTCACCCAACCCTCACGTTGCGCGTTGCGACCAGGGCGAGTATGACCGGGCGATTGAGCTGTACGAGAAGGACCTTCGCATTGCTCTGCGCGTGAATGGCGAGTCGCACCCGAGCACGGCCATCACATACGACTGCCTTGGCCAGGTCTACGAGCACAAGGTGCGCAGCAGCTGCAGCAGCAGCAGCATGCTAAGTCCATGCACGTGGCCATCTGTGTGCGATAGTGTCGTGTGTGTATATACGTACGTGGTGTGATGTGTGTGATGACTGTGGGGTGTTTGTGCTTGTGATGGCTTCTGGTGTGGCTGTAGCAACTATGTGTGTGTGTTTGTTTGTGCACGTTGATCACGCAACTCTACTGCCTCTTCCATACATGCACATGCAAACCCACACTTACACATGCAAGCACACACCCACACACACACACACACACACACACACACACACACACATACACACACACACACACACACACACCCACACCCACACACATACACACGCATACACAGGGCGAGTTTAACCGCGCAACAGAGTACTTTGAGAAGAGCCTGAAGATCAAGCTGGAGAAGCTGGGCGACAGCAACCCGGGGACAGTGGTGACATACAACCACCTTGGGCGCGTGCTTTCGCAGAAGGGCGAGTACGACCGCGCTGCGGAGCTGTTTGAGAAGGACTTGGCAGTGACACTGCAGATGCATGGGGAGGACCATCCATCCACCGCAACCACGGTCGACTGCATTGGGCAGGTGTACTTCTACAAGGGCGAGTACAGCACGGCGGAGACGTATTTCAAGCGCAGCCTGCGCATCAAGCAGAAGGTGCTGGGTGAGATGCACCGGGAGACGGCCACCACATACGACAACCTGGCCAACATTGCCCTGAACAAGCGCGACTTTGTGCGTGCGCTGGAGCTGTTCAACAAGTGCCTGGACATTGAGAAGCAGGTGCTGGGCGAGCAGCACCCGACCGTGGCCAACACCATCACCAACATCGGCCAGGTGCACACGCAGCTCGGTCAGTACCAGCGTGCACTCGCCTGCCTGGAGCAAGCGTTCGCCATCCAGACGCAGACGGTGGGTGTTGTGCACCCAAACGCAGCCACCACCGTGGATTCCCTGGGCACTGTGTTTGCGGAGATTGGCGACCAGGGCCGCGCCATCCAGTGCTTCGAGCAGGCGCTCAACGTGTGGCTGGATACGGTTGGGGAGCAGCACCCCAACACCGCCGCCACGCTGTATGAGATTGCGCAGGCACACCGCAGCATGGGCAACGTGGAGGAGGCAGCACAGTTCTACCAGCGCAGCCTGGGCATCTACACGGCCGTGCTTGGCGAGCGGCACCCCGACCTGGCGACAGTGTACTCGGGGCTGACCCAGCTGGCGCTGGACTGTGGCGACTACGATACGGCGCTGCGCTACCTGGAGAAGGACCTCGACATCTCTCTGGACGCCCACGGGGAGCAGCACCCGGACGTGGGCACCACATATGCGCAGTACGCGCACGCGCACGTGGGCAAGGGAGACCTTGATCGCGCGCTTGAGTGTGGCGAGAAATCGCTGGCCATCTTTGCAGCCACGGTCGGTGAGGACCACATGTCCACAGCACTGGCGTACGACGCGCTTGCTGCGGTGTACGCTGCACGGGGAGATGAGCAGCGGTCGCAGGAGTACCGGACACTCTCCGAGCAACTGTCAGAGCCTGAGGGTACAGGCGACGGTGATGATGGTGATGATGGTGAGGAAGAAGAAGAAGAGGAGGAGGAGGAGGAGGAGGGCAGGGAGGGGGAGGGGGAAGATGAGAGTGGGAACGAAGAAGGGAACGAAGAAGACGGAAGCGGAGGTCAGCAACGAGAGGAGGAAGAACAACACCCACAGCAGCAGCAGCAGCAGCAGCAGCAGCAACAGGCTGAAGCGGAAGCAGGTGAGCAAATCAGCGGCAGCGAGGAGGGCCACGGCAGGGCAGGGCAGGCAGAGCAGAGGCAGGAGCGTCAGGTGGCCCCATCACCACCCGCCGCACCACGGCTCGGCGTCGCCATACCCGTGATGGTGATGGTGGTGATGATAACGATGATGGGGCCGGTCCATTCTCCAAGACGGCGCGGCTGCTGTGATGTGAGCAAGGCGTCGTGTGTGTATGCGTGTGTGTGTGTGGGGGGGGGGGGGCGGGAAGGAGGGTCTGTATCGTGTTGGCAGTTGGCATACTCGAAGAGGCACAAGGTGCCTGTGTGTCCTTTATTTTTGTTTTGTTTGGTCGTGCCGTGTGGCGTGTGTGTATGTATGGTACTTGGCTCACGGCAACATAGACAACGTTACTCGAGCACTGATAGGGAAGAATGGCGCGTGTGGAAAGAAGAGAGAGAGAGAGAGAGTGTGTGTGTGTGTGTGTGTGTGTCTGTGTTGCGTGCAGAAGAAACACACATACAGACACGCACGCGCGCACACAACACATAACACACCACACACCACACACCACACACCACACACGACGTCGATGATTCTGTGATATCTTTCGCCACACTTCCACAACCAAACCCAAACAAAGCCTGCCATGATGTCGCAGATGCTGTCAGTGCTGCTGACCCTTCTTGTTCTTCTCACGTGCGCTGGGGTCGGCGCTGGCGAGGATGGCGTGGATATGCAGCCGGCCATCTTTGCGGATGACGTTGGTAACTTGTTTGTGGACACGAAGCGCGCGCAGGGGCGCGTGTTTGTGAATGGCGTGGACGTGCAAGTGTTGGATGAACGCATGCGGGCACTGGAGGCCACGGCGGCCGCCCTGACTGCGGCGCAGGGCATCCAGCGGGCCTGGAACCCCAACCTGACGGTCGCGGAGACGGCATCGATCGGGGCCGGCTTCAACGAAGTGGTGAATGGCATCGTGGCGGACTCGATCGCCAACGTCGTGTGCGTCTGCGGCGAGACCTCCAACAACCTCTTCGCTGTGCTATCTGGGCTCGTGGACGCGTATGTGGCGTGCTTCAACGCGGACGACGCAACCCTCAAGTGGGGCGTGCAGTTTGGCTCCTCGCAGTACGATCGCGCCTTCGGCGTTGCCATGGACCCCGTGGCGCGCACGGTGTACGTGTTTGGGCACTCAAACGGCGGCGTGTTTGTGCCGGAGCCGCATGGCCTGGCGGACCTCGTGCTTGCCGCCTTCCATCGCGACACGGGCAAGCAGCTGTGGGGCGTGCAGTTTGGCTCAGCCAACACGGAGCTCGCACAGGCCATGGTCTTTGACGAGGTGTCACGGTCCCTGTTCATCGGCGGGTACCACATGGGCTCGCTGTTTGAAGCCCAAGCCAGCGCGTGGGAAGGGTACGTCGCACGCGTGGACAGCAGCACGGGCAACGTCACCTGGGGCAAGCACGTTCAGACAAACCGAAACGACTACGTGCATGCGGTGGCAGTGGACTCGCGTGTGGGCCTCGTCTTCGCTGCCGGCACGACAGAGGGCGACCTGAGCGGCGACAACAGTGGCAGCAAGGACGTGTTTGTGGACGCGCGGCACGTGGCAAATGGCGATTCGGCATGGACAACGCAACTCGGCAGCGCGGAGAAAGAGGAGGACGTGTCGCTTGCAGCGAGCACGGACCTGGGCCTGGTGTTTGTGGTCTTCAGCACGCAGGGCGAGCTGTATGCGCCAAACGCCGACGGCGCGGGCGACGTTGCTGTTGTCGCCCTGCACAGCACCAATGGCTCTGTGGCGTGGAACACGCAGTTGGGAGCAACCGCTGCTGACGAGGCAGGCGGCGTTGCTTATGACGCGTCCACGACCACGGTTGTGATCACGGGCGCAACGCTCGGCGCCATGTTTGCCGACCAGCAGCACCACGGCGGGATGGATCTGTTTGTGGCTCGCCTCGACGCGCGCACGGGCGAGGTGCTGTGGGGCGGCCTGTATGGTACGGAGGATGACGATAGCGGGCGTGCCATTGCTGCCAGTGCACGCGTTCCCTTTCGCGAACAGGCGGCCGTGTTTGTTGCTGGGGAGACGGAGGGCGCGTTGTTTGGTCTTCCCACTGCTGGCGGTGTTGATGCGTTCCTCGCCATCCTCCGCCCAGACTCATGGTGACGACGTCATTCGTTTGTTCGTTTGTTGCTGTGTGCATGTGTGCGTGCGTGTGTGTGCGTGTGTGCATGTGTGTGTACATGTGTGTGCGTTTCACACGGTCGCTTGTCTGTGTTTGCTCGCTCGTTTACTTGTCTGTGTCTACGCTCGTTCGGAGTGGTTGGTGCCTGCGTTACACTGTGCACCTGCATGCACTTCCATCTTCCTGCACGCGATTGTGCTGCGCCTTCGCCCGTTGTTACATCATTACAGCTGTTCGTTGAAGAGCTCCTGATGCAGTATTGACGCTGCTGCTGTATTGGCACTTGCACGGTTGTATTCTGAGCCAGAGGGATAAGAACGAAGCACGCGCAGACAGACAAGATAGTGGTGGTGGGGGGAAGGAGAGAAGGAGAAAGAAGAGAGATGGACAAATACAGACAAGACAGATGGACAGCTAGACGGACAAATACAGACAAGACGGATGGACAGCTAGACAGACACACACACACAGGCACACACAGGCACACACACACACACACACACACACACACACACACACACACACACACACACACACACACACACACCCTACGAGCTCTTCTTTGCCTTTTTGGCGACGTTGACAAAGCCCTCGTTGCCAAAGTACTTGTTGCTCTCTGCCTTCTTCTGCTCCAGGTGCTTGCTCACAATCTCCAGGCCCTGCATCGGCGTGAACGAGACAGATGCTGTGCCGGCTGTTGCTGTCCCGCGGATTGTGGACATGCCACCGTGTGATGCCTCGCGTTGCAGCCGCCTCTGCATCTTCTTCGACAGCGCCCCGCCCTTCTGGGTCGCCTCCACGGCACGCAGCTGCATAGTGGTTGAGAAGGACGAGGGGGGGGGGGGTTGTATGGTGGTGGGTGCAGATGTGAGAGGCGAGCAAATGTGCAAGTGTGCAATTGCGAATTGTGTCTTGCTTACATTGTCCACACACACACACACACACACACACACACACACACACACACACACACACACACACACACACACACAACGGATCACAGATCACACACACAACGACGACGACGACGACAGCACAGGCGACTGACCCTGCCCTTTGCGACGCGCGGGCCGGAGAACGCAGCCATCTCCTCCTGGACAACATCCTCCTCAATTTCGCCAAAGGTCATCCTGTTGGCAGCCTTCATTGCCTCCGTCGTCGCCTGTCGCTCCTTCTGCCGCCGGAACCTGGACAGGTGGCGATGATTTGTGATTGGTGATTGGTGGCCATGATTTGTGATTTGTGATTGGTGATTGGTGGGTTCATGTGACGATGGTGAGGGGTTACGCCATGCAAAGGAGGACGAGGGCTGGTGTCTGTGAAGCGCCACAACGCAATTGCGTACGGATGCAGTCACAACAACAGCAATACCACTTCTTCACCACATGCCGCACGAAGCACGAAACAACAACGACAACAACGACAACCGCGCACCTCTTTCCACCGCGTCGCTTCTTGTAGGGGTCGTCGGGGCGGGGCAGTGCCTTGACAGTCTTCCCTGGTGGCGGCTCCATCGCCTTCTCCATCTTCTTCTCAATGTCCTCACGCAGCTCTGCGGTTGGGCAGAAGGGGGCAGGAGGAGGGGTGTTAGATATGGGGATGGTGAGGAGAGAGGTGGGGGAGGGTGAGAGACGACTGCACACACACACACACACACACACACACACACACACACACACACACACACACACACACACACACACACACACCACCCTTCATCATCATCATCATCATCACCATCACTCACTGATGCCGATGGTGGCGCCCTGTGCTGCTGTCGACCGGTACGAGTCCACGCGCGCCGCCAGCGCAACCTTCGCCGCCACGAGACGCGCGCACTTGCGGCGAAAGTCCGGCGGCTGGCTCTGCACGAGCTCAGAGTAGTAGATGAAGCCCGTGTGCGGCAGCGTCGCCGCGGCAGAAAACCCGGACAGGGACTTCTTCTGCGCGCCAAGCACCAAAATGTTGCATGCGGGCATTTTGGAGAGCTTTTCAAGTCCCCCGGCAACACCGAGGAGACGGGCGGCAGTCGACGAGCCGCAGATGTGTGTGAGGTTTGGCGCGAGGAAGAACATCTTCGACTCGACGTAGCTGTAGATGCGCGCTTTGTAGTCGTCCAGGCGAAGCAGCATCTCGCACCCTTCGTTCACCTGCCGCAGCTCGTCAGCACTCAGCTCAACACTGCACAATTCCGTTGCATTGGAGTGGGGGGGGGGGCGGGGCGTGAGTGTGTGTGTGTGTGTGTGTGACAGAGAGAGAGAGAGAGTGTGTGTGTGTGTGTATGTATGTGTGTGTGTGTGTGTGTGTGTAGAGGCGAAGGACAAAGACTGGGGGAAGCAAATCCGTTGGAGAGAATGTCATTCACTCTACGGAAAAAAAAACCACACGCTCACACACCACTAGAACTGAAAACGCACCCCTGTGTTGTGGTTGCTGACACGCTGACGATCATGACTGTTGCTGGCGCCAGGATCTCGTCCACACCGGCTTGCGTCACATCAAGGTTGTTTTGCAGCAGCTGTCGCAATGGCGGTGGGTCAGTGCAGGGTGGTGGGGTTACGTCGGTTGGTTCGACGGATGCAAGAAAAATAAAAAAAATAAAATAGAAACAAACAAACAAACAAACAAACAAACAATGTACAAGAGTCGAAGAAACAAACAAAACAGAACAGAAATGCACACACACTCATACACACAGACACACAGACACACACACACTCACGCACACACACACACACACACACACACACACACACACACACACGTGCACCCCTACCTGGACGGTTTTGACGTAGTCAAGGGGTTCTCTGACGAGCTGCTCCAGCTCTGGGAAGCGCTTGGCGTACTTGTCACGGATGTACTTGTGCACCACCCCTGATGCATGGTGCAGGAGTGGGACGAGGTGAGTCGAGGAAATGTGGTAGTTGTTGACGGGCGGGGTAAGCAGCTTGGCAAGCACACTGGTGTACAACGCAAATGGGACATATATACAACGCACATCACACACACACACACACACACACACAACGAACCGATTTCGTTGTCAATCTCGGCGGTGAGGTTATTGGCCTCAACAACAAGCTCGTATTCCGGGCTGGAGGAGGCAACGTCAAGCGCTGTGCACAAGTGCGAAAGTGTGCAAACACATGCACGCAAACAGGAAGGGTGAGTTGGTTGTTGCGGAGCAGCCATGACAAGGCAGAGGAGAGAAGAAGCATCAGCAAGCAATCAACGTTGCGAAGGAGCAAGCAAGATGACATGACAAGTCATACTTTGGTCCTTCTTCTTGCCGTATTCCTCAATCTGGGTCATGACGCGTTGCATCTGCAACCCATGTGGGATGGCGAGGTGAGTGCTGAGAGGCCGCATCACACCACAGAGTGCAACACGCACACACACACACACACAGTGTCTCTCTCTGTCTTCTTCGTCTGCCCTCCCCTCATTTTCACACAGTCTTTCACACACACACACACAAACACACACACACACACCGCACGCACACACGCACACACACTCTCTTTCTCTCTCTGCACCTTTTCACTGTCTGCAAGCTTGGCAATGGCATGAACAGAGGACATGTACAAGTCATCCTGCTCTTCCTCTCCGGCCTCAGCAATGTCATCCAGGTCCTCGTCATCATCCATGTCTTCCTCCTCCTTGGGGGCGACCTCAGTGTTCTCCTGGACGTGTCACGATGGGAGACGTGTGCAAGAAAGGAAGTTCGTCAGTGCGACGGTTCACATGCACCAGCGAAGAGGGCACATCATCGCGCAACACACAGGAAGCAACACAATTGACACACACACACACACACATACGCACAATTGATACACAAACACACAGTTGACAGACACACATACACATGCATCCACAGCCCCCCCCCCCCACACATACACACCTCAACAATCTCCTCCTCGTCATCGTCGAGGTCCTCCAGGTCAGCGAGCAACGCGTCGTGCAGTGACATGGCTGTAGGTGGTGGTGGTGGTGTGGTGCTGCGAACGTTGTTGACAGTATCTCGGCGCAGCAGATGTGTCAATGCATTTTTTGGTGTCGTAATCGACCGATCATGATGACAGAGGGCGCTGATTGTGATGATAGTGGCAAAGCAGCAGGGCGAGAGGTGGACGGACAGCAACAGCAGTCGCCACAGCAGTCGCAGCAGTCGCAGCAGTTGCCACAGCAGTCGCAGCAGCCACGATCAGAGCAGCAGTCGCAGCAATCAAAGAAGAGGCATGGAAACGCGGAGAGTTTGACGGATGATGAACGGGAGCAATTGACGGCATCCCATGCCCTGATCGCCTGTACTTTTGGAGGCGCACATCCGTTGGATGCGCCGCAATCCGTGAGCGAGATCACGCGGTGCACGCTGCGGGCGTTTGGTGGTGAGCCCTCCACGGGTTCGGCAAGTCGCAGAACATCCAGCGTGCGCACAGACTCGAACATCACGTCGCCGCTCGGCGACCTTTCCGTGGGCGATGCTGTCCATGAAACAGCCACACAGCAGGTAAAGGAGCGTGCTGATGCTGACCCCCGTGTCACAGACAAGCAAGCAGCAGAAGAAGCAGAAGTCAAAGTCTCGGCAGATGATGCTGCTGATGATGACGATGACAACGGCAGGGATGTTCATCGTCCTGGTAGTGATGGTGATGGTGATGCTGATGATGATGCTGATGTTGTTGACAATGATGACGAGGGGGAGGAAGACGAGGCGGGGATGAGCACGCCACAAAAGCAGCGGAGGCAGCGAGCACAGCAGTCGCTCGAGTGGATAGGCCAGCCGCTGTCCATCTCGTTTCCTCGGCTGCTCTTCTCCAACATCTTCATTACAGACCGCACCGCAAAGAGGTTCTTCTTCTCCATTCCCCTCAACCACATCATGTTTGTGTGTCGCCCAGACTGCGCCATGCCGTGCATCAGCATCAGCGTCGATGCAGCGTGGGTCAGGACACACATCCCCGAGACCATCGTCGACAGCCCGGCGGCACCGAGTCAGGAATCCATCAGCAGCCCTGGAAAGGCGTCCACGGACATTGCTGGATATGCGCTCGTGTTTCGCCTGTCGACAGGCGCCGACGTGGACCTTGCCCTCTCCCTCACAAACCGCAGCTTCAGCGACTTTGTCTCATACAACAGTACGTTGTATGTATGCGTGTGTATGAGAGAGAGTGTGTGTATGAGAGTGTGTACGTGTGCATGTATGTGTGTGTGCGTGTGTGATTGTGTGTGTGTGTAATTGTGTGTGTGTGAGTGCGTGTAATTGTGTGTGTGTGTGTGTCTGTCAACGGGGGAGAGCAGCCTACAACACGTGTGTGCGGAATGCGTGTGCTGTTCTAATGCTCACATGCATCACGTGCAGAGTTTGTTGCTGGAGAGCGGCGGGAGGATGGCACGCCATATCCGTGCCCGTTCCAATACCGCGTGGGCATCAGCATCGGCATGGCTGAGCTCGACGCGCGTGGCAACCAGTTCTTCTGTCCCTTCACAAAGGTAAGATTGGCGCGCGCGTGTGTGTTCATGTATGGGTGGGTGCGTGTTCATGTGTGTGTTCATGTATGTGTGGGTGTGCGTTCATGTGTGTTCATGTGCGTGTGTGTGTGTGCGTGTGTGTACTTGCGTTTACGTTGTGCGTGTTCATGTTCCTTGTTCGTGCATGTCAAGCCATCTTTACACCTTCCTCAACCTCGTTTCCACCATACGCAAACCCTCCCCCCATGTCCCCTGCTGCCATCACGAAGGGGGCGTTCAAGACGCGAGCCGAGCGCGACCGGCGGATATGGCTGTCGCTGCGGCACCTCAGCCACCAGGACACCAGCCCCTTTGTCAGCGTCGCCAGGGTCGGCATCACCTGCACGGGGCCGTGGCTCGGTCAGTCACCAGTCTGGTTCACAGCTGGGGTTGGGGGGGGGCTGAAATGGGGTGGGGGGGGGGTTAGATTTTGATGGTGGTGGGAGTGAGGTGGTGAGGGTTGCGCATTTGCACGTAGGCGTGCCTTGCACTCATTTCACCTTGGTCGCATATGACACACACGTGTGGTCGCTGCCACCATCTGATCTTGCAGACATTGAAGAGGACGGTGTTACCTGGCTCCAAGAGGTGCGCGCATGCGTACGTGTATGTCTCTGTGTGTATACGTGTGTGTCTGTTTGTCTGTATCACACACACACACACACACACACACACTCTCTCTCTCTCTCTTCTCTCTCCGCCTCTGTCGGACTGCGATGTTCCCAGCATCTCAGTGGCACACCTTCCGTCCTTGCTTCCAACATTCCAACGCCCAATATTCATCACCCTGCCCCCCCCCCCCCAACACACACACACGCACACGCACACATCACCACCTCCCTGCTGCCAGTGCGACCGGGACACGAGCGACCCCAACGCCATCATCACCGCTGTTCGATGGCCCCGCGAACACTCCAGCCTCGCCGTCTCACACGTGCGTGCATGCATGCACAGTTGTGTTGTGCGCGGCTACGTTGTGTGTTCGTGATTGTGTGGTTGTGTTGTGTGTTCGTGATTGTGTGGTTGTGTTGTGTGTTCGTGATTGCGTGTGTGCATTTGTCAATGTGCGTCTGACTTTGCATGTGGGTTTATGAGTTCATCGTTCTCGTACCTCCGTTTTCGTGTTGCCATCATCATCATCATCATCATCATCAATCATCTCACTTGCTCCAGTTCATGCTCGTGCATTGACAGGATTCATCGTGCACCATATCACTGTTTGTTGACATTCACATCCTCGGTGTCCCAAAGACGTTTCGCTTCACGACAGATGTGCAGGTGCGATGAATGATGAACGCATCCAATGACCCTTGAACCCCACCACTCCAAGCTGTCGCCTGCCAACACTGCATGTCGCGCACTCGCCACCTTGCTGCTTCTTTGTCTTTGGTCATGCCTGCATGCATGGTCTTGTTTGCCTGCATGCATTCTTGTCTCCTCAGGCTCGCACGGTGAAGGCTACAGACCGCATCTGGGTGCAGGGCAAACGCGAAGCGCTCAAACACGAATATGCGGTGTGTGCGAGTGTGGCTGTGTGTGTGACTGTGTGTGTGTGTGTTGTGTGTGACTGTCATTGCATGTGCAATCATGTGTGCAGTTACTGGTTGCAATTGAGCGATTGCTTTATCTCAGCTGCATCATCATCCACACCGCCATGAACTCACACACCAATGTCACACGCCATTCGTTCAACATCTCCAATCTCTCCCAACTTCTCCCAACCACCGCCAGCTGTCGTTGGCGTGCCAGCGCGGTGGCCACGACATTGACGCCGTGCGTGTGTTGGATCTTGTGGAGCAGCCACGATCCGCAAAGGCATCGTACATCGAACGCCTCAACAAGTCCGTCACAGGCACCCGCTATTTGGTTTGCTTGTTCTGTGCGTGCGTGTGTGGATGTTGTGTATGTGTGTGTGCGTGCGTATTGTATTGTGTGTATGTGTACGTGTGTGGATGTTGTGGATGTTGTGTATGTGTGTGTGTGCGCGTGTACGTGTGTGCACGTACTGTCTGCTTCGGCGAATCGCCGTGCACCTCACATTGCACCACCACCACACTCCCCACCACCTCTGCTTGAACGATGCACACAGGGTCATGAAGACACTCGTGGACACGAAAGGAGAAGACGAAGAGGAGGAGGAGGAGGTTGATGACGATGGTGATGATGGCGATGATGATGATGGCGATGGTGATGGCGATGGTGATGGCGATGGTGCAGAGAACGGAGAAACGAAGTCGCGTGTCGTGCTCTCAGGACAGGTAACGTTGCTACCATCGTTGGTTTTGCTCTCTGGGTTGCTGTTGCTGTTGTTGTTGTTGCTGTGTGTGTGTGTGTGTGTGTGTGTGTGTGTGTGTGTGTGTGTGTGTGTGTGTGTGTGTGCGTGTGTGCGTGCGTGTGTGTGTGCTTGCTTTGGGATGTTCTTTTCATGCCCATCATCTGTCGCTATCACCAACACCATCCGTGACACCGCGCCACCCGCCAACACCACCTGACACCGCGCCGCCCGCCAGGGCCACGTGGACCGGACCATGACGGACGATGCGATTGCCATCTGGTCGAATGCGATTGTCAAGTGGGAGTCGCTGTCGCCGTCCCGCCTCCTCTATCTCGCCCGCCGCGGAATCCCAGACGTCATGCGCAAGGAGGTGATGATGGTGGTGGTGGTTATGGTGATGATGATGATAGTGGTGGTGGTGATGATGATGATGGTGGTGGTGATGATGATGATGATGATGATAGTGGTGGTGGTGGTGGTGGTTGTGGCGTCAGCTGTCGACTTGCTTGCACACGCTAACACGCAGGTGCCCCACCCCACATCCCACATCCGTGCACAACAGGTGTGGATGCGGCTGGCCCAAGCGCACGACGACGTGTTGGAGGAGCAATACCGCTACTTCCTGACGCAACCGTGTGGTTCTGAAAACGTCATTGAATGGGATTTGGAACGCACGTTTCCTGCCCATCCACACTTTCAAGAGAAGGACGGGCCTGGCCAGACCCAACTTAGACACTTGGGCCATGTGCGTTTTGAAGAGAGCATGCGGAGGTGGAGAACAGATGAATGGAATGTTTTTCTTTTTTTCTTTTTTGGGCCGGGGGGGGGGGCTTTGTACTGTGTTGTGGGCGCTGTTGCGATGGCTGGCCTTGCTGCCAAAAGCTATTTAGGCTCTTGTTTCTTCACGACCATCTATCTGCCTGCTCACGCGCTCAATACCTGCCTACTTGCTTGCCTGCTTGCCTTCTTGGCATTCCCTTGTGTTTTTCTTCCATGATTCCCAGGCGTATGCGGTGTTTGATGACGAGATTGGATACGTGCAGGGCCTCTCCTTCATCTCGGCCGTGCTCCTCCTGCATGTAAGCCGGTGACCCGTCATGATGGGTGATTGGCGATGCTTGGTGGGGCACCACCGCAGTGTTTCTTGAATAGGCTGCTGCGTTTAACCTCAATGGTATCCCCTGCACGCGACTCACCACCATGACTATTTCACAGCTGCCCGAGGAAATGGCGTTTCTTGTGCTCGTGAGCATGATGCGTGAGTACGGTGTTCGCGATCTGTACAAGGAAGGATTCGAGAACCTCAACCTCAGATTCTACCAGGTACTGTTGTTGTCCGTGGACATTTGAGAGAGACGGATTGTGATGGCTGTCATGGTGGTGGTGGTAGTGGCGATGCGCGCACAGTGTAAACACGCGTTTGCCAGGCCAACAAGGATCACAGCAGCACACTATCGTTCCTGCCCTTTCCCGCGTCTTACATTATCGCTGTCACATTTGCAACTGCCACTGCTTGTCGCACTTGTGTGGTGCTTGCATGCAGCTGCGGCGGTTGATGGAGGACAACATCCCCGATGTGCACGCCCACTTCCAGTCCATGAACCTCGAGGTGCACATGTTTGCGTCACAGTGGTTCCTCACCCTCTACGCAACCAAGGTGCGCGCACGTGTGTGCGTATGTGATAGCTCGTGATTGGGAATGCGTGCGTGTGTGAGCGCTAGTGATTGACCGTTAGTGATCGTGTGCCTGCTACATTCAGAAGTGTGCGTTGTTGATGAACAAAGTTCATGCCCTCACCCACGTTACATGTGCGTTCTTGCGTTTCTCGATTGGCGACAGTTTCCGCTGAATCTCGTGTTCCGCATCTTCGACGTCTTCTTCGCTTCGGTAAAGAACACACATGTAAATGTGTGTATGCACAATTTCACACACATACAAGCACACATTTTTACGCGCATCAGTTCACACACACACACACACACGTTTTGAACATCATCTTGCGCGTTGTTGGCTGCAGGGCATGAACGCCGTGTTTCAGATTGCAATTGCGCTGTTGAAATTCGTCAAGAAAGGTGAGGTGGCTCATTGTCAGTGCTGGTGTGAGAGGAAAAGCAGCAACACTGCAGAAGAAGTGCACATCGGCTCTGGCTGCCAATGAACTGTTGGGTCGAGTACAACACATAACACATGCGCACTGCTTCATTCATACATCATTTCATCTCACAACATGCCTCTGACACAAGCCCTCACACCCGTTCACATCTTCTATCTCTCCCTCCGTCTCTTCCTTCCTTCCTTCCCTCGCTTGCTTCCTTTGTTGTTCGGCCGCTGTCACTGCCCAGACATTATGGCGATGGAGTTTGAGGAAGTGCTGTCGTTCTTCCGGCACGAACTGCCGCTCCTGTTTTCGGCCGAGGACCAAGTCAACAAACTCATCAACATGTCCGCAAAGATCAAGGTGCTGTGCGAGTGAGCGTGCGTGGGTATGTGTGTGTGTGCGTGCGTGAGTGTGTGTGCGTGGGTACGTGTGTGCGTGGGTATGTGGGGATGTGTGTGCGTGGACGCGTGATTATACGTACGTGTTTGCTTGTCCGACTTGTCCTTTGTCTCGCCGCCGACCCTTGATCACAACTTCCGCCCAATCCTGCACGTGTGTGTGCATACTGTGTGTGTGTATTGTACATCGCCTTGTGGATGTGTGCGTGTGTTTGCAGGTGACGGCCCACCGCCTTGCGAAATACGAGCGCGACTATTTGGAGGAGAAAGCGCGCGAAATGGAGGCACAGGATCCGCTTCAGGTGAGCGAGCAGGGGAGAGGGGGACGAGAACAAGCTGGGGAAGATTGCTTAGGTGGTGGGAGGCCACACACCTGAACGTGTTGATGTGTGCGTATTCTTGTGTACATTGTATGTGTGCGTGTTATTGTGTATGTTGTGCGTAATCGTGTGTGCCGGTGGTCCAATCCGTTGTGCAATGTGTCCATATCTCACCGCCGTCTCTTTGTGACAGTATCTGCGGACGGAGAACGACAAGTTGAAGCAGACAAAGGCGGAGCTTGAGATGGAGAGCGCCAGCTTGACCCAGAAGCTCATCGACTTGCAGGTGTGTGTGTGTAAGAAATGGAAGTAGGGATGAAAACGGAAGTGTGTGTGTGTGTGTGTGACCTTCAAACATACATACACACACACACACACTCCCTCTCCCTGACCCGTATCAACTGACGACCATTGTGTTGTGTGCGCAGACGAAAATGAATCGACAGATTGAAGCGCGCGAGAAATCCATGGCCCAGCTGCAAGAAAAGAGTGAGTTCACATGCAAACTGCACACACACACACACACGCACACATGCAAACTGCACACACACACACACACGCACACATGCAAACTGCACACACACACACATTCTCTCTCTCTCTACCCGCAATGCACATTGCCGCGGCTTGCATCACGTCCCCTCACACGTCACGTGCCCACGCAATGCTGCCCATTGCCCGCAACGGCCAGACGAAACGCTGGCGCTGCATCTGCACCGCGTGAAATCGCACGCGGACACGGAGACGGCGCAGTTGCGGGAGGAAGTGGTGAACATCAAGGACATGTACAGGGACACGCTCGACAAGGCAGACAGGGAGCGTCTGGAGCTCACGCAGCAGATCAAGCAGGTGAACTGTGGCGGTCACATGTGTGTGATTGTGTGATTTCGTGTGTTTGGTGTGCTTATACATGTGCGTGTGCTCGTGCACGCGAAAACGGAATGCGTGCCTGTGCCTGTGTTTGCTTGTGTCATCGTGATTGCTGTTGGTGCGCACGTGCGAACAAGTGATGCATCTTGTGCATTGCGCCTGTGTTCTCACGTCGTCGTCGTCGTTGTCGTTATATTTGATCGCCAGATTGAACTGCAGAGGATTGCGGAGAATAAAACCAAGGACAGGCGCATCAATGAGCTTGAAGAGCAGGTGCGTGCGCATGTGTGTGTATGTGTCTGTCTGTCGACGCATGTGCTCGTGTCAGCACATCAAGTCATCCCTTGTCATGCCGTCGCGCAAAGCAGTGACACATCATACCCCCCTACTTGTGTCATTCACCATCATCGCCCCACCACCCTGTTGACCTCATCTTCCCCCTCCCCACCTCCATGCCAGGTGCGCAAGCTGGATGCGGTGGCTGCTGTGTCGACGGCAACAGAAGACCTGGTCTCGCTTCAGCGCCGCGTCCACGATCTCGAGGTCGAGCTGGCAGAGACGAAGCTGCAGCTCGTCGAGGCAAACTGCAACACCCAGGTGAGGGCGTGGGGTGGTGGCGGCGGTGGTGTTGTTGTTGTTTAAGTTGTTGTTTAAGTTGTTGTTGAAGTTGTTGTTTACGTTGTCGTTGTTGTTGTTTACGTTGTTGTTGTTGTTGTTAAGTCGTTTAAGTTGTTGTTGTTGTTTAAGTTGTTGTTTAAGTTGTTGTTGTTGTTTAAGTTGTTAAGCTGTTTAAGTTGTTGTTGTTGTTGTTGTTGTTGTTGTTGTTGTTGTTGTTGTTGTTGTTGTTGTTGTTGTTGTTGTTGTTGTTGTTCTTGAGAGAGAGAGTGTGTGTGTGTGTGTGTGTGTGTGTGTGTGTGTGTGTGTGTGTGTGTGTGAGTGAGTGAGTGAGAATGAGAGAGTGTGTGTGCGTGCGTGTGTGAGTGAGAGAAGAAGAAGGGTACAGCAGCAACGGTGCTGTGTTAACTCTTTCGAACGTGACCTAGCCACACCACAGCGAGGGAACGGAACAAAACAAGACGAGGAACAAAACAAGACAAGCGCCATCAGCAAAGTCGTCACTCCATCTCCTGCAGCTGTAGCATAAGGTCTTCTATGTGTCGTTGATGGTCACGAATCTGGAAGGCGAGGGAGTGAGGGAGTGTGCGAAGGTGTGTGTGTGTGTGTGTGTGTGTGAGTGTGCGAACATGTGAGTGAGTGTGAAAATGTGTGCATGTGTGTGTATGTGAGTGTGAGTGCCGGTGTGGAGTGTGCGCGTTTCACTGTGCGTGCAAGTCCACAGCATGTCACCCTCTCCACCGTGAGCAAGTGACATCATCACCTGCGACCACAGCTCCTCGCGGCCGCCGCGTGTTGATCGCGCGCCGGGTGTGCGCACACCGGGCGAGCGGAACCCAAAGAAGTGGCGACTGCGCGACCGCGAACGAGACCGGGACCTGAAAACAGTTGAGGTGTGGCGTGGGTGACAGTCATGGTATGACGACGACGACGATCGTGGAGGTGGTAGTGGTGGTGATGGCGAGGATGACCAAGGGGAGAGGAGGGTAAAGATTCAACCAGTTTCAGTGAAGCGCACAATGGTCGTAGGTTGATCGAGCCAAGTTGGCATCAACGCCCACCACCGAGCACCATGGCTCATGTGACGCATGATGTGTCACGCATGATGAACTGTGTCCGTACCGTGATCGGGGCGGGTGGAGGAGACGACTCGCAATCGTTCGCGCTGTTTCGTCTGTGCTCGCTCGACCCTTCATGCTGCACAACACACCATTGCCGTCATCGTGGTGGTGGTGGTGGTGGTGGTGAAGGTGGAGGTGTCTGTGAGTGTGAGTGTGGAAATGCAGAGTGGCAAGCAGCTGCGATGGGCCGTGTGACAACCCCCACATGTACAACCGACCACAGAACACTTACCAGGACACCAGCAAGTCGATCAACACACACACACACACACACAGATACACACAGACGCATACACACGACAAGGGCGAACGCACTGGCTTGCTGATCTGTTTCGCGCCTCCCACTGATCGGGATCCATCTCGCCCATCTCCTCCAGCGTGTGCGCGACAGCATGTTGTGCATTGGGGTCGTTGGCGTGCGCAGCAAGCAGGATGTCCTGTTGAAAGGTGGTGATGATGTGATATGGTGGAGTGAGTGTGAGTGTGAGAGTGAGTGTGAGAGTGAGTGTGAGAGTGAGTGTGAGAGTGAGTGTGAGTGTGAGTGTGAGAGGGAGAGGGAGAGGGAGAGGGAGAGTGAGGGTGAGAGTGGGTCAACATGCGAACAGGTACAGACACACACACACACACAGACACACACACACACAGACACACACACACAAAGAAGCATTGTACCTTGAGGCGAATGTGGTCAACAAAGACGGTGAGCTCGTCATCGCGCCCGTACACCGCCGTCAGCGCAGCCTGCACAGGTTGCACGAAGGCGTGAGGTGGTTGATGGTGTTGGTGTTGAGGTGCGCAGATACGAACGGACAGAGGCGACAGGCAGAGACGACAGGCAGTACAGACAAACACACACACACACACACACACACACACACACACACACACGCACGCACGCACGCACGCACACGCACGCACACGCACGCACACGCGAACACACACACACACAACAAACAAACAAACAAGCACCAACCACACACAAACACACACACACGACTGCGACTGACGTCGTATCCTGATTCGATGATGAACACGAAAACGTTGAGGACGGTTGTGATTCCAATGACGCAAAACGCATACAGGTAAATCTGGGCCGTGAGCGCATAGCCGAGATCCGCGTGGCGCTGTAACTCCTGGAACACTGGGGTGTGGTTGTGGTTGTGGTTGTGGTTGTGGTTGTGGTTGTGGTTGTGGTTGTGGTTGTGGTTGTGGTTGGTGTGGTTTGTGGTTTGGTGAGGGAGGGCTGGAATTGGGTTCGTTGTGTTTGGCGCAAGCAGATATGCAAGCACTGGGGCACGTATCGTGAAACAGACAGACACCTCCACCACCTCACACACACACAGGCACACGCGCAGTCGTTACAAGGGCGACAGCAGCCTTACCCATGAGGATGGAATCGCCATTGAGGAGCGCAAAGAGCGTGGCCGACGCCTTGAAGAAATCGCCAAACAGTTCGTTCTTGTCGTAGAACAGTGCCACACCCATCACCATAAACGCTGCACAGACGGTGGTGGTGGTGGTGGTGGTGGTGGTGTGAGCGAGTGAAGAGGTGATCAAGGATACGCGCTAGCGGTGGAGCGAGCATGCGCATGCACTCTTTCATTGACACGGAAATGCACACACACACACGCACGCACGCACACACGGACACACACACACACACGGACACACACACGGACACACACACACACGGACACACACACGGACACACACACACACGGACACACACACACACACACACACACACACACACACACACACACACACGACACACACACGACACACACACGACACACACACACACACACACACACACACACACACACACACAGGGTGCAGTACCGATGTAGACTGGGGCGACGGTGAGGATGAAGCGGGCAACACGACCAATGCTGGCCTTGACTGCAAGGATGAGCATGTACAGCTCAACATTCCACTCCATGTACTTGAGAAGGCTGACCCACGCAAGGAACACACCCAGGCCTTGCATTACATCCGCCGGAGACAGGCTGTCTCCATGGATACATATTGTTGGGATGAATGGGGGGAGGAGGGGTGAGCTGATGATCCATTTGGAGCTCTGCATCCGCGCCACACACACACACACACACACACACACAGAGAGAGAGAGAGAGAGAGAGAGAGAGAGAGAGAGAGAGAGAGAGAGAGAGAGAGAGAGAGAGAGAGAATGCACACACACGCACACACACACGCTTACGCGTCGTGCAGGTCTTCGCGGTATCCGAGCTGGCGGATAAAGTTGAGCGACGATCCTGATGGCAGCCAACGACACACGAATCACATGTGTGTGTATGTGTGTGTGTGTGTGGGGGGGGTTCATTGCGTATAAATTGACGAGATGAGTGCTGCTGCACATGCACCACCACCAACACCACAAGGGCAGGATAAGCGAAGCCCCCTTCCCCACCGGGCGCGTGCGCATGTGTGTACCGATCATGAGGAGGATGTCAGCAATGGCAGAGGTGAGGTGCCACAGGTTGAAGAAGGCAAGGCGGTCAGGAAACGCTGCAGTGGTGGTGGTGGTGGTGATGGTGATAGTGGTGCGATGAGATGTGACTGGCAACACGAAATCCAAGTAAAGGAAGACAACAATAACGAGGAGGGGAAGAAGAAGAACGAGAAGGAAAACAGCAGCAGCAACAAGAGCAAGAACAAGAACAAGAGCAAGAACAAGAACAACAACAACAACAACAACAACAAGAACGACACGTCGGTGCTTTCCCTATCACGCCACTCTTCCTCCTCCACCTCATCCCCCCACCCCCACCTCCGCCCCTCCCCTTTCACCGACTCCTTCCTTCTCCGCCCGCCTCTCAAGGCATCAACGTACTGAGGTCAGACCAGACAAAGTCTTCTGGGTCGGTGCGTGGGCGATTGAGGTGCCGCTTTGCATAGCGGAAGGCAAGCAGACTCTTGTACATGGCCTTGAGCGTGAGCACCGCTGATGGGAGCGCAAACACGATGATGAGCGAATTGATGATCAACATTACGGGGCTGCACCGGGCGTCAACCAAGGTGGTGGTGGCAGTGATGATGGGTGTGGAGCGTGGAATTTGTAGCATATAGAAATGTGTGTGTGTGTGAGTGAGAGAGAAAATGTGAGAGACAAGGAAGCCGGGAGCAACATCGCCCCCCCCCCCACACACACACACGGACACACATGAACAGAAGCCACCGCACTCCACCAACTCACTCTCATTTACCCGTTTCGCATCCATACACACGCATTCATACACACACATATACACACGCACACACACGCACACAACACCTGGAGGCGTGGTTGATGAAGGAGGCGATTTTGACGTCGTAGTGAACACGACCGCCGCCGACGCTGAAGTCATAACGACCGGTGCACTTCCAGTGGAAATCGACATCCATGACCAGATGGTGGCGGCGAAACTGCTTCTGCTCGTTGTAGAAGTTGAAGTGCAGCATCATCAGACGCACGCCTTGGAGGAAGACAGACACCTCCTCCAGTGTCATGTCTTTCAGCGGGCCAAGCGTGTCCGTCGGCGTGAGCGTGTACATGCGCGCATGCGTGTAGTTGTCCACGCTCATCATAATCGTGTCCTGGATGGCATACGGCGAGACGGTGGTGACGTTGAAGTCAAAGTACCCATTGACAGACTGGTTGAGGTGGTCAACGACCTCCGCCGTCGAGTACAGCGGCGTTGCACCCGACAGCATGGAATCCTCAATCGGGTTACCGAGCAGCTGCCGCAGCGAGTCGCTCGTGTTCTCCACAAAGTTGGAGTACTGCAGGTTGCGGACGGCAAACAGCGTGGTGGTGACCAGCACCACCAGCACGTTCAGCATGAACTTCCACGGGATCCGCCGGTGCAGACGGAACTTGACAAAGGGGGACGTGGTCATGCGCTCGACGTGGGTGAGGTGCCGTCGCGTGGATGCCTCGCGCCACAATCGCCGCGTCCAGTCCACCGCCGCCTCCGTGCCGCGCTGATGGTCGTGGTCGTGGTCGTGGTCGTGGTCGTGGTCGTGGTCGTGGTCGTGGTCGTGGTCGTGGTTCTGGTTGTGGTGGCCACCCTGCACGTCGTCGTCTCGGTCACTGTCGTCATCGACAGTGTTTGGAAAGTGTGCATGGTGCTCTTCTGAGTGCGGGTGCTGGTGTTGCCGCCTTGGGCGATGTTGCTGTTGCTGTTGTTGGGCGGAGCCGAAGGCGGCGTTGTGTGGGTGTGCTGCTGCAGTGGTCGCTGTCGCACTGATGCTGGACTCAGTGCCGACTGTCGTAGCTGTTGCGCTTGTGTCTGGGGTTTCGATGGTTGGTACAGACGGTCTGTGATGGACACTGTGATGATCGCTGTGATGTGGAGGGTGCAGCCTGGTCTCGCTGTGCACGTGTCTGGGCTCGAGGTGCTCGTAGCTGTGCCTGCTCCGCAGCTGTCTGGTCTGGTGCGACGTTGCAGGGTCTGTGCTGGAGCTGCGTGCGCCTGGCGCAGGCGCCTCGCCCAATGCAGTTGACGTGTTGCCAGTCTGCTGCGCTGGCCTCTTTGGGCTGCCGTTCTCGAAATCCGGCATCTCCAGCACCAGCCCTGCTGGCTCGTTGATTGGGCCGAGCAGGGGCTCCTCCTCGACCTCGTCCTGATCCTTGCTGCCACCCCACATCTTGAGAGCGGCTCGAAAGAGCGCTGAGATGGCTGCGGCGTGGCGGTGAACAGAAGGGGGCAGCTATGGCCCGTTGGTGCGTTGGCTGGTTGGCTTGTGCGAGTGGGATGCGTGGGATATGTGTGCGTTTGCAGCAACAACACACACCACAGCGAACACCACCAACGCTTCCTCCTGTTCTTCGCGGCCGCGAACAATTCAGCGAGGTTACGGAAAATCAAAGGAAGTCGCACATAATAATCGGCGGTGATGGAAGCGGAGAACAACAACCGCCGCAACAGCAGTGGCCGTGGCGAAGAGGAGGATGGTGGTGGTGGTGATGTGTTGGTGGGGATTGAAGTGAGCACGCCCATCTTTTCCCGGTTCCACGAGCTGGACGTGGGATCGGGAACAGAAGAGCAAAGAGAGGGGGAGGTTGACGTCGTGGGCGCCGTGAGTGGGGAGAGGGAGGGGGAGAATGAAGCGGAGAACGGAAGCGGCATCTTGAGGGGTGGCGTTGCTAACGATGATGATGTGCTGGCTGGAGTGAGCGAGCTGCGAGCGCGGGTTCAAAGGGTTGTGTGGGCGTCCTCATCGTCGCCAATGCAGAGCAGCAGCGGTAGTTTTAGCATGACGTCCAACACCACTCTCCTAGCCAGCAGCATTGATCTTCCCGAGGCGCGCTTCAGCGACAGCAGCGATGAGGATGAGGAGGAGGAGGAGGAGGTTGGTAGCGTGGAGGGTGCAGGAGAACATTGGCTGCTGCATCAGAGACAAGCGGACCAAACTGAACAAAGGCAGCAGCGCCAAGGAATCAAGAACGGTGTGAAATCCCTTGCATCCACGCGACAGTCTGCAAGACATGTACACCATGGAACGCGTGCGTTTGTTGAGACGTCATCATCCGACAGCAGCGATGGTGATGATGATGACGGTGGTGATGATGATGACGGTGAGGACGGTGAGGACGGTGAGGACGGCGCAGGTTGGTTTGAGCAACCGGCAGGCTATAAACAGCAGCAGGGGGATGAAAGAGGTGCAGAACAACAACAACAACAACAACAACAACAACAACAACAATTGAAGCAGCAGCATGATGATGATGATGGCACCAGCGTTGAGACAGCTGAACGCATTGTTCAGCGGAGGGCACAGGTGCCCTCTGCTACTGCACTGGAGGAGTTTCGTGCCGCTTGGAAGCAAGAGCTCAAACAACAACAGCAGCAACAGCAGCAACAGCAGGTGCAGAAGCAAGACGGTGAGGCCAACAAAGCACAGGCGTTAAAGCAGGGGGCGATTACACCCACCTCAACGGGCCTGGGCGACATGTCAACAACAGATGGACCACGATCACCATCGTCAGCGCACGTGGCAGATCGCGTGTTCTTCATGCAGTCACGGCCCGACGCAGGCTTCAACCCACTGGAGGTTGTGGTGCCGCCACGAGGGAGGCAGCGGCCCACCACAGACCTCCTCGCCCGCCCCTGGCGCATCAGCAGCGGGACTGGCGATAAGGACTACAAGCAGTGCATCACATCGTCGCTTGTGGAGCCGCGGGAGGAGGAGGCCGTCTACTTTCCGCCGCCACTGCAGCGCGTGCGGGCACACCGTGCTGATGGTGGCGGTGGTGGTGGTGGGGATGGTAGTGACGGTGGTAATGACCAGAGTTGCAGTCGTAAGAGCAGAAGTGGTGTGAGCGATGGGGGAGGGGAGCGAGCACGTGTTGACGCAACACGTGATGGGGATGGTGTTGATGCAGTTGTACATGATCGAGACGATCGAAGACGCGTTGGTTCCGACAGCACCACGCCCACAGCACAAGCAGCACCTGCGAGCAATGACAGCCGCCACGATGGTGGTGCGTTGGGTGGTGCACGCGATGTGCCACTGACGCTTGCAACCCTTCCTGAGGAGCTGCTACTGGCAATATTCGCCCGCCTGTCGTTTGCGGATCTGTGCGTGTGTGCCATGGTTTGTCGACGGTTTTATGACATCTCTGCCCGCATCGCAACGCCCTGGCGACATCTGCAGCTCAATGTCAGTTGCAGTGGTGGTGTGTTATGGTGTGGTGTGGTGCGTTGTGTGGTGTGTGTGGTGTGTTGTGATGTACTTTTCTGTGCTGTGCTTTGCTGTTGTGTTGTGTTGTGTTGTGCTGTACTTTTCTGTGCTGTGCTTTGCTTTGTGTTGTGTTGTGTTGTGTTGTGTTGTGCAGATGTGTATGCGTGTGTTGTGTGCATTGCTTTCAAGCCAGACCTCCCTTGTTCTCACACCACTCACCTCATTTGCACACCGTGTCTCCGCTTGACCAACGTTCGCTTTCTCCCTCCACCAAATCTGCAGGTGCTTGACTGGGAAGTGCGCGACACATTTGCGTTCAATGCCATCGCCGCTGCCACGCGTCGCACCACCGTCACGTCCATCAATCTCCAAGACTGCACCGGCATCACTGATCGCCTGCTGCAGCTGCTGGAACAGCACCCGGCATGGCTCACCCATCTCCACAGACTCAACCTCAGCAGATGCGACAAGGTGTTTGTCTGTGTGTTTTTTGTGTGTGTGTGTGTGTGTGCGCGTGTGTGTGTGTATGTGTGTTTGTATGTGTGTGTCTGGTGTGTGTGTGCATTGTTTTACTTGTGCGTCATCATCGTGACCGGGTCAGCTGTTGACACTACGTGTGTTGTCGCCTCATGTACAGATCACGTGCGGCCCCACGGGTAAGCTGCTGGCGACAACGCAACACCTGCGCCACCTCGATCTCTCCGAATGCTTCCAGCTCTCTGCCGACATCACCCCTGGTACGCATGAAGTGCTGTTTGTTTGTGTGTTTGTGTGTATGTGTGTTTGTGTGTGTGTGTGTGTTTGTGTGCGTGTAAGCAGCTGTAAATGCACACGCTCTCTCCCTCTCCCTCCCTCTCTTTTTATCTCTCTCTCTATCTCTATCTCTCTGTCACTCACTGACGGCCGTGCACCTTCTCCCACACCGCCACCATCCCCAAATACACCCACCCTGCAGCCATTGCGGCGCTGGATGGTCTGCACTCTCTTCAGCTGTCGCACGTGTTTGACTTGACAGACGAGCACATGGAGGTCATATGCACGGGCTGTCGCCACTTGAAGCACCTCGCCCTCAAGGTGAACACGAGACAAAGTTGGGGGAGGTTGAGTGGTGCATTGTGCACGTGTCGAGCTTGTCCGTGGACTCACGTGCTCTCGTCGCTGTGTAGCATGCACACACACACACACACACACACGCACACACACACACACACATACATACCCGCACACACACGCACACACACACATACCCGCACACATACACTCACACTCACACACACGTCTCATGCACGCGCACACCCATGTCCTCAGAATTGCGTGCGGCTGACGCCTGCGTGGCTGCTTGCTGCGCCGACGGGACTTGAGACGCTGGAGTTGGTGGACCTGCCGCGCATGGACGATACGCTCGCAGAGGTGGTGGCTGCTGCGCCGCTCTTCAACACCATTCACACACACGCTCCCCACCACGACGTACACCACCGCCATCACCACCACGACGTACACCACCGCCACCATCCTCATCATCGCCAGCATGGCAATGTTGGTGGTGGGGTGACATCGTGCCCACGTGGGCTGGTGCGCGTGTCGTTGGCAGGGTGCTGCAACGTGACGGATGTCGGCATGACTGCGTTGTTGCTGCGCACGCCTGCTCTGACCTACGCCAACCTCTCTGGCTGCTACATCATCACAGATGACAGTCTTCATGTCCTAGGTGCGTCACACATGTAACATTTGTGAAGACACTGAAGACGCCCTCTTTGATGGCTTGCGTGTATGCTCTTCATTCACTTGCGTGTATGCCACCCCGTTGAACCCTGGCCTGATTGTCACCAAATTATGACTCACACACGCAAATGTGCCCACACTCACACACATGCACACACACACACACCGCCCGCGCAATTCACACACACATACACACATGCACGCACGCACGCGTGCACTTCACACACGCAGCCACGTGCCCCGCGTTGCGGACGGCGCGGCTGAACGGCTGTGGAAACATCTCGGACCAAGGGTTGTTGCACGTTGCGTCTGCATGCTTGCATCTGACACGCGTCGACCTCTCCGACTGCGGCACCATCACGCAGGCAGCCGTCGACAACATGATGATGGCCGGCATTGCGGTCCTGCGCTGACACCAACGCCTCGTGTCGTGTACAAAGCGCACTGTTGAACGTGACATGACATGATGTCTGCGCTCCATTGCACACACACATGCACACACATGCACACACATGCACACATGCACACACACACACACACACACACACACACACACACACACACACACACACACACACACACACACACACACACACACACACACACACACACACACACACACACACACACACACACACACAGCACTCACTACATCATTTCGTGTGTCGCTGTCAATGACGACAGACGACACACAAAGGCACTTGCTCGAGATGCTTGGCAATGTCACCCATAACTATCCTTTGTTTGCTGAAAGTTGGTATACATCTTCATTGAATATTCTGCAATCGCAGAAAGGAAGCACAGCGGAAACACCAGGCAGGCAAACGCCGCGACAAACCACTGCCCACCACAAACACCCGGAGGAACAGCCACTGGTGAGTGAGGGTGTTGCGCAGACAAGTCTCACATCAAGCAAAGCAAAGCAAAGAAGCAAGGCGCTGCTTTGGTTGGTGTTGTTTTTGGGTGTGGTGCGTGTGCGACTTTGTTCATTTCTCCGTTGGCGATACTGCATTGTCGTGGTGAAATCACTCTGCTGTGTCTGTTCTTCAGCGTTCTCCACGCCCCCCCCCTCTCTTCTCTCACACACAAGACACACACCATCCATCCACGATGAGCAGCAGCAACAACCGAGGCACCACGGCCGCTGATGCTGCGCAACGCAAGATCACCCATGCCCTCCTCGTTGATCCCAACTTGGAGGCGCAGCCAGAGTTCAGGCTTGGAGGTGTGTACGCTCACAACGACATGTGCGAGGGCCAACCTGTTACATGTGCGCACAAACCACACACACTCTCTCGTTTGGGTTTCCGGTTGTCGGTGATGAACGAAGGAAGAAGAGGAGGGGGAGGATGATGGTATGACATATGTGCGGTGTGTGTACGTGTGTGTGCGCGCGCGCGGTGTGCTCAAAACGGAAGACCACCCCGCATTTCGCAGAGCGCTGAGATCAAGTTTGACAAGTTGAAGAAGTTGTTAGCGCCTCCTCACCTTTTCACTGTGCGCAAGGGGTCTTCTGTGCGTGTGTGTCGTTGGTAGCGGGTCAGCTTGAGGGCACGAAGAAATCGGTTGTGTGTGTGTGGGGGGGGGTAGACGAAGATGAGGGTGGATGTGGGCAAGAGGGGAGGAAGGTTGGCAAGAGTGTGGGATGAAGGATGGACGTTGGGCCTGTTGTTGGGGAAAGGGGGATGTAGGATTTGGGTTTAGCAACACACACGCACGCACGCACGCACATGTGACGCTGTAGCTTCCAGGACCTCCCATAGTACACACATCACACCTCACACGCACACACATCAGCCCGCAGGCAGACAACACACCTCGTTCTCACACGATTTTGATTTGACACTTGTGTTGTTTCTCACAACATGAAACCCGCTGCACACCACATGAACCATCACCACTACATTAGGGCTGCCCTTTGTTGGCCACACGTTGCTGAACCTGAGCAGCGCGGGCGTGCTGAATGTGGTGGTTGTCACCAACACACGTGGCCTCGACTACCTGGAGAGCTACAAGGGCGTGCACACGCGCCTGAACATGGACGCCGTGGTTGTCGACGACACGTGGAGCGGGTCGGAGGTGGACGGCATCATCAAGGCCGAGAGCAAGCTGCGCGACACCCCGTTTGTGTTTGTGGCCACCAACCACGCGCACGACCCGGAGCTCATCTCCAAGATGGCGACGAGCGGGCACGTGCTCGACGGCACGGGCGCCGCGTGCCTGATTGAGCACGATGTGGAGGGCATGGTTGGCCTGCCACAGACGACCATCTTCGGCGCGTGGCCGGCGCTGGACGACTCGCACGTCACCGCTGTTGGCACCAACCTGAAGGCGTACAACGGCGTGTTTGCAGGCCTTGCCGCGTTCCCTGGCGACGTGTTCAAGAAGGCGCGCACGCTGCACGAGACAGACCCCGCCGCGGACCTCAGTGCCCTGCTCAACGTGTACGCGCGCAAGGACACGCTGCACCTGATCAAGAACGACGCCAAGAGCGTGTGGCTGGCCGGACTCACGGAGGCGTCACGCGACTTTAGCGTGCAGCAACTGGAGAAGATGGGATCGCCGCTCAAGCTGCAGACGGGCGAGGAGGTGGTGGTGCTCGGCGACCACTCGGCCTCCACCGACGAGGAAGGTGGTGATTGGTCGCTCTTCTCCGTCGAGAAGTGGCGAAACGCAGTCTTCACCACAAAGGTGTGTGTGTGTGTGTGCGTGCGTGCGCGTATTTGTGCGTGCGTGCGTGTGTGCGTGCGTGCGTGTACATGTGCGTGCGTGTGCGTGCGTGTGTGTGTGTGTGTGTGTGTGTGTGTGTGTGTGTGTGCGTGCGTGCGTGTGTGCGTGTGTGCGTGTATGTGTGTGTGTGTGTACGCTGCCATGAATACACTTTGCGGTACACCGTCTTGTCGCTTGCCACAACCGCCTCCTCTCATTCTCCTCCTTCCTTTCCTTCTCTCCCCACACATCACCCCCCCTCCCCCCCCCCAATATTTGTATTTCTGCTGCAGTCCTTCTTTGAGCAGCTGTATGCGGACACGCACACGTTTATCGAGCAGCAGGTGGAGAAGCTTGGCGGCCGCGACAACGTGTGTCTGATTGAGGTTGGCTGCGGCACTGGCGAGACGATCATCCCGCTCGCCTCCGCTGCAAAGTACTGCATCGGCATCGACATCAACGAGGTGCGTGCAGTTGTGTGTATTCGTGTGAGCTTGAGAGTGAATGAGAGAGTGAGAGGGGGAGGAGGTACATGAACCATGACGCAAAAACACACACACATACAGACACACACACTCTCTCAACACCACGGCTCGTTTGAATTTACACGTCATCATCAAACACTTGCACCTCCTCCCCCCCCCCTCTCCGCCCGACAGGACTTTATCAAATACAGCCAGGTGCAGAACAAGGCGGACAACGTGCGGTTTGTGTGTGGCGATGCAACAAAGCTGCAGGAACTGCTGTCCACAAGCGAGGTGGCGGATTGGGCCGGCGAGCCATTACGCAAGCTGGTCATCTGCGTGGGAAACACCATTGGCATCATTCCAGAGTTTCTGCGCGACTCCATCTACCGCAACATGGCGGAGGTTGCCGGCGACGACGGCGCATGCGTGGTCATCTACTGGAACGGCAACTGCTTTGGCGAGGCGGTGCAGCACTTTTACAACGAAAACCCGCAGCTGTGTGGACCGTTCAAAGGCAAGCACGTGGACTTCCAGGCGTGCACGCTGCAGACGCCGTCCGGGTACAACACCAAGTGGACCAAGCCCGAGGAGGCGCGGGAGCTGCTGCAGAGCAAAGGCCTGACCACGCTGGAGGTGGTCGAGCAGGGCAGGGGCGTGATGGCCGTGTTCAGAAAGTGAACGCACCAGTCACCACGCACCACTCACTCACACGCGACGCTCAATGTGTGTGTGTGTGTGGGTGTGTGTGGGTGTGTGTGTATGAGGCCATGTGCAGGGGCTGCGCGCGGATTCATGGTTGGGATGGTGATGCGTAATTGACCTGATTGTGTGTTTGAGTGTGAGTGGAAGGGCACATTGATTTGGTACTGGTGTGTGCTTTTGGGATGGGTGGCTTTTCTTCTTTCATATCTTTGCCCCCACCTGTTGAGGTTGTTGCGTGTGTTAGGAGGGGGTGATTGTGGGTCGTGGCTTTCAACCACAGCCTCCTCTTTCCACGCGCTGCTCACTTCGTTAATTCGGCAATGCCGTCGTGCTGCGATTGGAGCTGTGCGCGTTGTTACCGCGTTCCGCCCTCCGCCTTGCTCGCTTGCTGGCTGGCTTGCGTTGTCGTTTCGCCTGGTTCTCGCTGGCGCATCCTTACCTGCACCCAGCCTTGCTCGCCTCTCTGCCCCTTTGCTGTTTCCTCGCTGCCGTTATCCGTTGCGTGACAAGGCTTGGCTGCCATTGCCGAGCTCATTTCGGAGATTAGACAAACCAAACATACAGCACGGAAGTAGACGCCTTGTACACGTGCGTCTGCATGTGTGTGTGTGTGCGTCTGCATGTGTGTGTGTGTGTGTGTGTGTGTGTGTGTGTTGAGACAAGTCGCCTGCAAACAAAACACGCGCAAAGCAAGCAAGAGTGGCAAAACGTAAAAAGCGGCGCCTGCTCTCGCACACATTCGCCCATGCACACCGTTGCCCTTTGTTTGCCGCAATTGCTTTCCCCACCTCTGAGCGCTGGGAACCGTGTAAGATTTCAGCGAGTTTTCCCCAATAAACCACAACAAAACAACACACAACACACACAACCACGAAAACACAAACAAACGTTGGGTGGTGTTGTGTTGTGATGTGGTTGGCTGTTGTTCTCGCGGTGCTGGTGCTCGTCATCAGCCTCAGCACACACGATGTGCAAGGTGAGCAGCTGTTACAGTACCTAGAATGGTGATGGTGGTGGCCATGCGAGTGCTGTTGGCTGTGCTGCTTGAGGGAAGGGCGTGTTGCACCGCAACGATGCGCTCGCTCGCTCACTCGCTGTGTGCTTGCTGTGTGGTTACTGTGTGGTTACTGTGTGCGTGCGTGTGGCAGGTGGGCACTTGAAGGTGCTGGTGCACAACGCCCGCGTGCAAAACAGGGACAAGAACGGACGCAGCGACCCTCGTGTGCAGATGTACGTGTCGGGCATCACAGGGTTCATGTACACAAGCGTCATTCAGAATCGCCTCAACCCGTCATGGGAGGAGCTCATCGACTTTGGTCCTCTAGCAGACATCCCGGCAACGGTATGGCCGCTCTCTGTGTCTTGTGTTTGTGTGTTTGCGTGTGTGTGTGTGTGTGTGCATGTGTGTGTGTGTGCATGTGTGTGTTTGGTAGATTCGTGGTTCATCTTGGTGCTGTGTTCGTGTCGTTGCTTATGTGCCTCACGTTGTCTTCTGCTCGTTGTTGCTCCTGCTATTGACTGACTGGCAGGGTGTCCTTGTGTCGACGTTGGAAGACAGGGACAACAAAGTGAAGTTCCAACACGTACGTTCTGTGTGTGTGTGGTGTGTGTGTGTGTTGTGTGTGTGTGTGTGTGTGTGTTCGTCGTGGGGCTGAAGCGCATGCGTGCCTGCATTCATATCATGTGCACATCACTCACACACACACACACACACTCACACTCACTCACACATACTCTCTCACACTCACATACATGTACACATAGCTGTTCACGTTGAGCACGCCCTTCAACTTCACGGGCCGCGGATGCTTGGAGCAAACCAGGACAGTGAAGCAGTTCAGCGGCAACACCGTTCGCTTTCTCCGCTTCACCATGTACTACACCCCAAGTGAGTCCAGCACCGCCATCCTGACGCGTGCAGCAACACCTTGCACTTGGGGAATACACAAGCACAGCACACTCCCGCGCATCACCCACAAGCTCGCACAGTGTCTCGCAATCACACCCTCGCTCTTCCTCCAACTCACCCTCTCCCTGCTGCTGTGTGTCATGACCAGCCAACCGGTGCCAGCCACCCTTCAGCGCGTCCTGCGGCGCTGGCGCTCGATGCGTCTGTCTCGGCAACCACGAGTTTGGGTACGAGCGACGTGCGCATGTGTGTGTGTGTGTGTGTGTGTGTGTGTGTGTGTGTCTGTGTGTGTGTGTGTCTGTGTCTGTGTTCATCAAACACCAAACATGCTTTCTCGTCCCAAACAACCCTTCCCCCCCCCCCCACAGCTGCGTGTGCGAGGATGAGGAGGCAAACCAACAGGACAACGTCCACTGCCAGGTGTGCAAAAAGTCATGTTCACACTCGGCATTTTGCGTGCGTGCTCGCATCTTTCTTATGTGTGTCTTCCCTCCGCATCACACACACACACTTTCACACACACTTTCACACACACACACACTCGCTTACACACACACACACACACACTTCACACACACTTCACACACACACACACTCGCTTACACACTCGCTTACACACACACACACACACACACACACACACACACACTTGAGATTATATACAAATGTTCAACTAGCAAATGAGGACGTCCAGCATCGGAAGACCATGAAGAGTGCTTTGACGTGGGTCATCGAGTAGCCGTCAGTCCGCAGGGCACTAGTTTCTCAATCCCCGGTCTCTACCGTTTAGTGGGCTGTAGGCTAGCGGGCTCGAGATCTAAGGGCACTTCCCTACCCTTTCGATGGTGATGACAGGATCTCGCAGGACACACACACACACACACTACACTCGCTTACACACACACACACACACACACACACACACACACACACTCACACACACACTCTCTCTCTCACTCACACACTCACTCACTCATACACACCTACAGTCTGAGATCAGCTGCGGCACAGAGACGTGTGAGGGAGGAGAGCTGTGCGAGTACAGCTTTGGCGTGCCAACCGGGTGCACGTGCGGCCCATATGCATACAGGGCTGGTGGCGGCTCTTGTGTTCTCAACGGCACAACAACGACGACCACCACCACGACAACCACGTCAACCACAATAACGGACACAACCACATTGACGCTGAGCACGACCAATGTCAGCGTTTCCAGCACCTCCGCAAGCTCCACAGAGTCGACTTCCCACTCATCCACATCGGTGTCGTCAACATCGGTGTCGTCGACGACGGCCACCAGCACGGACACGATCAGCAACAGCAGTAGCAGCAGCGCCGCCACGACAACTTCGGTGGGTGAGGCGATGGTGAACACGACTGCGACATCAACGACAATGGCGACACCGCACAATGCAAGTGTGCCATCGACCAGCGCGTTGCCGTCCACGCAGACTGATCCTGAAGGCAACAACACAGCCACAGCAACAACCACACCCACAACCACAACCACGTCGCAAGGGACGACCACCGCAGGCGGAGGTCATGCGCCCACGGTCACCACCACAACAATGGCCACGCCACCCGTGCATGCAACAACAACAACAACAACAAGCGCAAGCACAACCATGCGCACCCCAGCCACGGCAGCAACGGACACGACGGGTGTGCAGCCAAACCAGATGGCGTCATCATCATCATCATCCCAACTAGCGTCGTCTTCTTCTGCGGCGTCCACAGTCTCCCCCTCGACACTGCCCCCAGACAGCCCGGCAGGGAGCAGGGCGATTGGCAGCTCGGGCCTGTGGACGCTGGTTGGTGTCGGCGCGGCTGTGCTGATGGCCGTCGTTGTGGTGTTGCTGCTCGCGTACACGAGGCGCAGGCACCGGCGTGCGCAGCGGCAGCCGTACGACGAGAACCAATATGGCGGCATTGGCAAGAAAATGGGCGCATCTACAGCCATGTTTGCCAACCCGACCTTCGCGGGCGACCACCACTACGAACAGCCCACGGGCGATGATGGTGCTGGTGGTAACAGTGGCGGTGACGGCCGTGCTGGTCGCCAGGCCATTAACCCTACGTATGCAGCGGGGCCGAGCAGTCACGGCTTTGCAGCGCCACCTTCACCGGAGTACGAGGCGGTGGACGCTGTCCCCTTCCATTCTCACCAGCACCAGCACCAGCACCAGCACCAGCAGGAGTACGATCAAGAACCCGCATCACAGCAGCGGTACTTGCAGCCTGTTACGCAGCATGGCGGCAGCAACTATGCAGCGCCCGCATACGAGGAGCCGGATGCCATGGATAGCGGCGGTGATGGCAGTGCACGCCATGTGCCAACAGAGTACGCTGTGCCGCGGGTGCTTGATCTCGTTGGCGGGCGCGTGTACCTCAAGCCCAACACGGACGATGATGATGCAGATGGCGTGTATGGCGTCGTGGATGCAGACGCGCAGCCCGAATACGGCACCTTGGCCGGCATTCCCGGTGCCGTGTTGCCGCCATCCCACGAGGCCCATCGACGTTGTGGTGGAAGTGAACCTGATGGTGGTGACGAGTACGACTACCCGCGTTGTGTGCCGCGTTCCGAGGAGGATTGCAGAGACCCGCATGCGGCTGGGGAAGATGATGAGCAGCAGTATGACGTGCCTCGCAAAGCGCCATTGAGAAGAAGACCCAACGCTGACGCTGGTTCTGCCCATGACGCAGGTTCTGCTGATGATGGTGACGGTGATGACGATGATGGCGTGTATGATCTGCCGCGAGCGGCGCCCAAGCCAAAACACAACAAACCTGCCGATGTTGCTGATGACGATTATGATGATGGCGACGTTGGTTTGGACGCACAGTCTGGCTTTGGCTTTGAGGCTGGTGATGACCTGAACGTTTGAAACCAATGTTTCTTTTTGCTTGTCTTGTTTTTGTTTCCGTTTCATGCTGCTGACCCTTTCTCCTTGTCGCTCTTCTTCTTCTTCTTCTTCTTCTTCTTCTTCTTCTTTTCCCTGTGTTATCTTGCTTGCTTGCAAGAAGCCTGCGTGTTCGCACTGCCTGTTGGCACGTTGACACCTGAGACAACTTTCTGAATTTGATTTCTTTTGAGTGATTCGATGCAAGTGTTTCCTTTTCTTCCATCGCCTTTGTGGATTGCCTCATACGAATGTCGTTTGCAAATATTCCGGTGATATCACCGCGCTGCCCAACAAAGGCGCAGCGAGTTTTGCTCGTATTTTCCTCCCACAGAAAAAGCGACCACGCAAACACCAACTGCAGCGACGATCGTGCTTGACTTGTGGTGGTCGTGGTGTTTGAGAGTCAGTCGAGTCGGACAGACAAAAGCACACAGGCAAGAAGGAAGAAGAAGAAGACGACGACAACAACGATGACCGCGACTGCTGCTGTGAAGGTGGCCGTGGCCACGGTGGCCCTGCTGCTCGTCTGCAGCTCCACTCGAGTGGAAGGTGCGTGGCCATAATAATTTGTTCGACTGGCTGTCTGTGTTTGTTTGTATTTGGAGTTGTGGCTGTGGGTCTGTGGCTTTGTGGTTGTGGCTGTGGCTCTGTGGCTGTGGCTCTGTGGCTGTGGGTCTGTGGCTCTGTGGTTGTGGCTGTGGGTCTGTGGCTCTATGGCTCTGTGGCTGTGGGTCTGTGGTTGTGGCTGTTGCCTTCTTTTATGACACAAGGACACTTACACCCAGAAATGCGCGTGCGCTGTAGGCGGAAGGCTGAGGGTGTACGCCAAGAGTGGCAACATCCCATGGAGCGAGGATCGGGACATCTTCAGCGATGCAGATGTGGCTGTGAGGCTTCGAGTGGAAGGAGTGACAGACTACATGAACACAAGAGAGATCGAGAGCAACAGCCCAACATGGAATCAGTGGCTGGATTTTGGGCGACCGGACATTGGGCCCTCGGTGAGTGTGCTGAAGCGAGTGCCGGGCGCCAGTTAGGCAGTTGCTTAGTGCAAAAGCACTCTCACGTGCGGAGTACTTTGTTGACCAACTCTAACCTCGTGTCATCATCCTGCGTTGCTGCTGCATTGTGCGACAGGGAACGGTGCGGGCGCAAATGTGGGACACGGACAATAGCTTTTTTGATTCAACCGATGACTTGGTAAGATACATTGGTTCATCACGTTGCAAGCTTTTCAACGGCGTTTGTTGTGTTCTTGGACTTAGCGTCAGAGCTGCCCTCTCATGATTCACACTTTGCGCCACAGATTGCCGAAGACACGTTCAGCTTCTCGTTCAGCGGATGCAGCAAGCAAACGCGGTCCTTTCGGTTGAGCAAAGACATCTACATCACGGTTTGGTTCCCGTTTGTTGGCAACACCCGCTTCAAACTTGGCACGACCACGTTTGACTTTGACCTCGAATACACCCCAAGTAAGCACCGACGTGTTGACGTTTGTCCTGTCAGGAAGACAACCCCTTGTCCCTCAACTCTGGCATCCTCCTCACCCTTGCACCCACCTCATCCACTCACCACCTCCCCGCACCCTCCCTACAGCCAACCTGTGTTCGACGTCATACTGCGATGCGACCTCGACCACATGCTCCTGTAACTCCGACAACAGTGCAACGTGCGTCACTGATGTTGTACCACCGCGATCACCGAGCCACGCGGTTGCTCACTTCCGATGTTTGTGCACGCTTCCCTGTTTTCTTTGTCACCTTCAACCTCCACCAAACCCCCAACCCCCAACCATGTCCATCACCCACTGTGCTCCCCTCCCCCTTTGCAGGTGCTCCTGCAAGAGCGGGTACACCTATGTTGATGCACGGCGTTGCCAAGAGCGCAACATCTGCACCAACAACGCCAAACGTTGCGACCTCTCCTCCACCACGTAAGCTGCTGATGCGATGCATGAAACAACAGGAGCAAGACCGAAGGAGGGTTGACTCGCATGTATTTCTCTGTCCAACAGTGAAGAAGCGCTTTGCGCGACGCAACGCGGCTGCCTCTTGTGCTCTGGTTCACGCACGTTGTTACATTCTGTTCTTCCATTCGCCCCCTCCCCTGTACTTCACCACCACCACCACCACGCGTCCTGTCTTCTTATCGTCTGTTTCCTTTCACAACAGGTGCCGCAAGACGGGTCCAGGCACGGCCGAGTGCGACTGCAAGGCCGGCTACCGCCGCAGCACCTCCATCTCATGTGCCGCCATCAACCCGTGCAGCGACAACCCCAACATCTGTGGCAGCAACTCCCAGTGCTCCATGACGGGACCGGGCACGTACAGATGCACGTGTGAGGATGGCTTCTCCTCGTCGACACGCGACAACAAGAACTGCAGGCCTATCGACAGGTGTGAGCTGAACACGGACACATGCAGCGGCAATACCATCTGCGAATACCTGGGACCCAACAGGTTCAAGTGCACGGAGTGCCCCGACGGCCACAAGGCGACGGACGACGAATGCAAGCAGATCAACCCCTGCATGGAGAACGAAGGCATCTGCGGCGACAACGCACGCTGTGAATTTGCCGGACGTAAGTCAAGGAAGGAGGGATTGTGTGTGTGTGTGTGTGTGTGTGCGTGCGTGTGTGTGTGTGTGTGTGTGTGTGTGTGTGTGTGTCTGAGTACATCAAAGCTGCGCATCCATTTTCCGTCGCGCCTCATCTCACATGATTCCATCCCAATCTACTGTTTCCTCTGCTCTTTATCCCCCACGTCCCGTGGTACAGCTGGCAAGTACGCGTGCATGTGCGCGAGTGGATACGAGCACAACTCGCCCACAGATAAGTGCACACCCATCAACCGCTGCGAACAGACACCAGGCCCTTGCGGCGACAACTCCAAGTGCTCTCCAACAGGTGCTGTTTGCGTGTGTGCATGCGTGCGTCAGAGAGTGTGTGTGTATGTGGTGTATGTTTGTGCGTGCAGGTGGAAACGTGTCTGGTTCATGCCAAGCTTGATCCACACTCTCGATTCCTCACTCTCGTCTCCTCACTGCTGTCTCACCCTCATCTGCCTGCTTCCCCTTGCCCCTGCAGGTCCCGGCACATACACGTGCCAGTGTGAGCAAGGGTACGAGTCCGATGACAATGCCCAGACGGTGAGTCGCACCACATGTTCCGCCAATGCACCTGCGACAACACACACTCTCTGTCTATTTGTCTGTCTGTCCGTCTCTCTTTTCCTCTGACACACACACACACACACACACACACACACACACACACACACACACACACACACACACACACACACACACACACACACACACAATGTTCATCAACAGAACTGCTCGCCTATCAACCCGTGCGACACGAACAACGGCGGGTGTGGTTCCAACTCCCAATGCGATCACACGGGACCAGGCACGCGCAGGTGCACGTGCGACGCTGGCTACAGAAGCACCTCCAACGACGGAGCAAACTGTGTGGTGGGTTCACGGTGCAGCTGTTGAGTAGCAGCTCTGTGTGTGTGTGTGTGTGTGTGTGTGTGTGTGTGTGTGTGTGTGTGTGTGTGTGTGTGCGTGTGTGTGTGTGTACACTTGTGCTCCATCGCTCATTGTTGTTGCCTCTCGTCCCAACAACACTGCTCCTTGCATGACATGCGTTCACCCTTCGCACTTACACCCACCACCACCACCACTATCAACATTACAGGAGATTGACCCGTGTGTCACCGACAACGGAGGCTGCGGCGATGCAAGCACCACCCTGTGTGTAAAATGTGATGTGGTGCCTTGTGCTCCATCATTATTGTTGTGCTTGCAGCATGCCAGCTTCTTTTGTGGCGCTTCCACTTGCACACCACCACCTGCCGTTCCCCTCACCATCACCATCACTCCAACACACCATCTGCTCCTGTGCTCCGCCATCTCTTCGCTGCAGGTGCACCAAGACGGGCCCGAACGAGCGCGAGTGCAGCTGCAGGGACGGATTCACGTCGGAGACGGGGCGCGACTGCATCTGGATCAACCCATGCGTCAACGAGGACTACGGCGGCTGTCTGCAAGCAACAGAGATGTGAGCCTGTGTCTTGTGTGTTGTTGTGTGCGTTGTATGCGTGTGTGTAGGCATACATTGCATCTGCGCGTTCATCACCACCGATGTTGCTTGGCCTTGCACCCCACCTGACTTTCGCACGCTTCCATCCTTCACCTCCACAACAACAGCTGCATGAACACCGGCCCCAATGAGAACAAGTGCGAGTGCCGCACCGGCTTTGAGTTTGATCAAGAAACCGGACACTGCCAGGTGTGTGTGTGTGTGTCGTTGGAGTTCTTGTGACACTGGCGTATATCATGTTGTTTCCCCAAACACATCATGTCACTGCAATGCATCTCTCAACTGCGCGCGCTCACGCATTGGCACTCTCTCCTCCTGTCTCTTCTCCTCTCGCTCCTCATTCCATCATCAGCGCCCCAAGTGCGGTGACGGGCCGGCGTGCCCAGAGTTTGCGTCGTGTCAGGACGGCACGTGCGTGTGCAAGGGGAGCCTGCGGTTGGTCGAGACAGACACGGGTGACCTGGCCTGTGCCCCAACAACCACCACCACAACTACCACCACAACCACAACTACCACCACTACCACAACTACCACCACTACCACGACCACCACAACCACAACTACCACCACAACCACAACCACGACAACTTCCACCACCACAACCACAACTACCACCACAACCACAACCACGACAACTTCCACCACCACAACCACGACAACTTCCACCACCACTACCACTACCTCGACTACAAGCACATCAACAACCACATCAACAACCACGACGAGCACCGCCAAGGAGGACAAGACAACCGCAGCCCCGGACACGACAACAACAGCAACAACCACGACTCCGAACAGCCAGGAATCGACAACGAGCAAGACTGATACAACTACGCCAGGCCAAACCACCACCAACGATGCTGTGGACACCACCACCACCACCACAACAACAACAACAACAACAACAACAACAACAACAACAACAACAACAGACACTGCTACTGCTACTGCCACGACTGCCACGGCCAATGCCACTGCTGTGCCTGGCGGCAACGGGACGACGAGCGGCTCACCCGCGGTTGTGCGACCAACGGCAAGCGGGCCCGGGTCCCCGTCTGCATCGAGCAACAGCAACACGGCAAAGGCCACGATGTGGGGCGCTGTGGGCGGCTCTGCGGGGCTGATTGTCGTCATTGTCGTTGTGGTTGTCGTGGTGGTGGTGTCCCGTCGCCGTCGCAGCGGCAGCAGCAGCAGCAAGGCGTCGTGGGATGCGCCACGCGTGTCGCACGTCAACCCAATCTTCTCCGCGCCGCCCCCGGCCAACGGGCTGTACGACACGGTTGAGCCCGCACCAGAGGGTGGCCGTTTGATGGTCAACACCAACTACGAGGACACCAGCGCCCTGCGTGGCCCTGGTGGTATGTATGCGCTTGGTGATGCTGATGAGGAGGGCAACTACCAGACGCTGCCTGCGTTTGGCGATGAGGATGCGGACATGACCACGTCTGGCTACCAGGATGTGGCCGGTTACGACTACGGCAATGATGCCATGCATGAGGGTGGCTACGCCGATGTGGCGCCCCGCACGCCCACCCAAGCAGTCGTGCACGAGCCTGGCTACGCTGATGTTGGCGGCATTGCCGTGGTGCACGAGCACGGCTATGGCGATGTTGGTGGCCCCGCCACGCACGAGCCCGGGTACGCAGACGTGGACCCAGAGTCGACGTACGACACCCCGCGGCACACCGCACGCCCGGCTTACGACAACGTCGCGCGCTCGTCAGGCCCGCTGTACGATGTGCCGAAGCGCGATGCAGACGCCACGTACGACAGCGTCACGCTTGGCTCGCCCACGTACGACAACCCGCGCGTGATCAACCTGGCTGCCGACACCGCGACGTACGACAACCCGCGTGTTGTGCTGGACGACAACGCAGAGTACGACCTACCACGCCGCGCGCCCAAGGGCAAGGCGGGCAAGGAGAAGGGCTTTGGCTTTGACGATGACATGGACGTCTGAGGATGAGCAACAGACAACTAGCACCGTGGCTGTCGTTGTCTGTGCCCTGTCGTTTGCTTCTTGTTTATGGTGGTTT